TATGCGCCTCCCAGAATGGCGGACGCGAGAAGGAAAGCTAGAGGGGGAAATGGACGAACCGGACGGGGAGAAAGATGCCAAGTGGCGGGGTCCGGAGGAGTGGGGCCACATTCCATTGATTAAAAAGAAAGAGAATCCCAGCAAGTTTAATCTATCTCGACGACGGGCGCCCGCGGCGCGGGTGGGGACTCAACCTTGGGCCTTTGCGAAGGCAACTGGCAAAAGAAGGGACGCCCATTGAAGCGGATGATCATCTTTGCCTTGCCGCTGTGGGGTTCGAGGACTGGGAATGGGTTGGCCAAGTTCAAGTTGGATCAATGATGCCGTGGGTGATCTGGGTGTTCAAAGCGAATGTCGTGGTCACACTCCGTGCTGCCACTCTTTTCTCCCTCTCCCGTTGTTTAAAACACACTAGTAGCGCATGACATGCGATAGAGGTACGTGGGGAAAAGGGAAGAAAAGGGAAGAAAAGGAATAAAAGAATAAAACAAATGCGAGAACAAGCCTACACCTTCACACAGTAGCGCACCCGCCTTCCGTTTTCTTTTCTTCCTTTGCCTCTATTCCATCGGTCGCTTAGGTCCCGCCAAAGCCCACCCCGCCCCTCCCTTCCTTACATCCAGCATGTTCTCTCCCCTGCCACCTCGCCTCACAACTCCCAGTGCTCCCTCCCCCCTCATCGAATCCACCTCTCCCAGGCCCTCGATTAACCTTCGCGTCTGCGCAAGACATTTTTGGCGAGATTGCCTTGGGCCTAGTTTTGCCCTCTTTGTCCGCATCTACCTTGGCGCTTTCTGCCCCGCTCTCTGTCTCGTGTGCTTTCTTTCTCGCCTGACGTGGACTGAACCTCTGAAGGGAGGGGAGACGTAGGCCACTGTGGGGAAAAGAGACGAAGAAGAATAGGACGTAAAACGTAAAGGTGGGGAGGGGAGGAGCGTATATTGATGCTCCATCGCTTCCCAAATGTTGAAACAGACGAGCAGAGGGCGCAAATTAAGATTCCGCGTCACCACCGCCTTCGCTTGGGTGTGGCGAAAGGCGGGCGGATAGAGAGCGGTCGTGTTAATGCTGGGAAATACCGGGAGACAGGTAGGTAATAGATCAAGCCTGCTTAGGCGGATCTTTGCCTTGTAAGTCTTTGCTACACCACACACCCCCTTCTCTATATTACTTGCATCATATCAGAGATCGATCAACATACGTTGAACTCTGCTATATCGAGAGGCCATCGCAATGGTTGGTGTGCTCTTGTCTAGATAGATTGGGTATTTTGTGTATGTTTTGTTGTCTACATGTACACAATGGACGTAAAACATAGATCGCAACGAGTGTTGAGATGATCCACGAATTTCACGTTTCTTCCATTGTGCATGTAGCAGATGCATTTTCTTTCTTTTCCTACATGTTCAACCTCAGTCATGAGGCAGCGTCATTCTTGCCGTCTCCTCTCGTTTGGTCTCCTCTCCTCCCCACATCATCCTTGCCCCGGCGACAAGATCCTCCATGTTTCAAACATCGAATAGTTTAATTACTCCTACGCCTGCCTTGCCTGCCTTGCCTGCCTCCGACGAGAAGTACGGTGGAAAAACCGGGACCGGGGCAAATAGAAAAGAATTCAACATTATGCCTTTCATAGGGCCATCTCCAACCCGCACCCCTCTCTGTCTAAGCCGTCTACTATCTCATTCCCACGCCGCCTAGTTTCCCGCCGCTTCCTTTGCGCCCCCTCTCCACCTCCCCAATCTAGCATCTTCCGCCCAGCGCCATAAAGCAATGGCGAGGAAAGAATAAACAGAGAAGAGAAGATAGGTGGCAAGAGGTGAAAGAAAGAAAGCCACACGCCCCCCTTCCTCTCCGATCCCCTTCCCCCCGTCCCCTCGCAGGACGAACGCCCATGAACGCCCACGAACACCCTCCAGCCCAGCAGGAGCTAGCATGTACCCAGGCTTTGCCCACTGGATCCATATTTCCAATCTACCCCTCTCTCTTCTTCCTCCTCGTGCTGCCGTCTCCCCTTGCCATTTCAGTGGGCCGGTAGAAATGACAAGGGAGGGGAGGGGTGAGAGGAGGGGTGCAAGGGCGACCTGCTGTGTATGGTGGTGGGGGGGACCACTCGGCCAAAGTTTGCCCACTGCTGCTCCAATGGTATGCTAGATGCGAATGCGCGAGGGCGTGGATCACCTCGAGAGTCCTAAAGAGAGCAGAAGACTTTGTAGGAATGAGAAAGAGGTACAAGACCGTACAGTATAGACGTACGGTGCTCGTCCCGGTCATTCGGGAGACTCGGGTCCTTCGCGGAACGGCTTGGCCCACTCCTCGGGGCACCGAAAGGAGAAGGGCGGGAGTGGGTTGCGGCCGTCCTAGGTGGATATGGCCGGTGGCCAAGACGGAGGACGGCGTGGAAGGCGCGTTGGTAACCGCCGGGATGAGATGCGGCCTCTACCGTCTTTGGCTTGTGACCTCGGGGGCTGCTATTTCCCATCAATTCTTCATTGTCTTCACAATCTAGGAACCGACGAGAGACCGCGAGCATGTCCGAAGTCACCTGGATGGGGACCTATCCTGACAACCTGTTGTACTCGAAAAAACTCGCACGAGTTCACCCCTAGGCATGGCTTTCAACGCCCAGGCAGGAAGCAGCATAGAATTGGTTAGAGAGAGTAGAGGTCTTGCCTCAGCGCCATATCGACCCCAAAGAGGCCTCGTGATACCCGAGAGTATCAAGATCGTGCCAACTATCTTGTCAGCCTGAGCTACGGCGGAGCCCAAGCCATGTGAATCCAAAAGCCCAGCGCAAGCGAGTTTCGCCTCAAAGACACATGCTAGGGATCTCGTTCCGTATCAAGGCAGACAAGAGGTCGAGAAGGGGAAGACTGCCAGCGGTAGAGCGTCAATCAGAATGATAGAACAGTGCATCTAAAGGGAGAATGGATACTCCCCTTCCTATCTTCAACCGCCCCCAGATCTCCAAGTGCACACCCTTAGCTATAGACCCATCTCCTAAACTCCCCATAGACATGATATTTCCCTCGCCATCAGCCTAGCCACGGACGAGTTGAACCAACTTCGCAAAGGGCGAAGCAAGAACCTCGAACCTCGACGGAGAGTGACCGCAACCCTATGGCACACCCGTTATCCTCTTTCCCCGTCCCGTAGCCCATACCGCGGGGGCAACCGGAGCGAATACCAGCTCACGACGGCTCTGTAGTGCAAACCGCCTTTCCAGCCTGTGGCCTATCTCCAGTCTAGGCCGTACTATCGAAATAGGCCTGGTCCACCTGCGGACTTGGCTTTGATCCGTGGCGTGTTGTCAAACTTCAAGACTGCCCATGCTCATCGCCGCCTCAAGTATCCTCTTCTATCCCGCTACAACCCCGTCTTGAGCGGCAAACCCATAACCCCATAGGACCAAGCGTGGAGTGCGCCGCCTCTCGCCCGTGTCCGGAACGGGCATCCAACGTAGCACACGACAAGTAAAACAATTGAGACGGAGATCTCAGGTGATGGAGGCGCGTTGGAAGATACAGATAAGTTATTAATTACTACTCAATGTATGATAAGCGACATCTACCTCTCATTCACCCCTTTCGCCGCCGGCGCCGACCCTCCGACGCACGCCACAACATGCTTTTTGTTTTGTTCCTTTCGGACAGAAAATAGAGGGCAAAGAAGATAAAGGACACGAGGAAAGTTACAGGTTCCCTCTTGTCCATCTCTGGTGAAGGGAGGGGGCGGGTGTGAGAGAGTTGGAAGTAGCAAGGCCGGTAGATCCAAACATGACAAAGGTAAAAATAAAATAAGGAAAAAAATATAAAAAAAGGAAGAGGTTGTTGTATACGGGTAGGTAGAATGGTCGAGAGGGTCAAGAGAAAAAAGCACACAAAACAACCTTCGCTTCGACGATTGTTGGCAGTCGTTTTCTCTTCCTGAAACCCCTTTCTCCCATCCCACCCTTGGCCCCCGCCCAGCCAGACCACTCCTGTAAGCGACAAGTTTAGACAAGAAGCGAGTGTGAGTGTGCAAATGCATCTAGTAACGACAAGAAAGAAGTGTGGATGATTAAAAGGAAATAGAGGCACGTGGGAGACGAAGAAGAAGTTTCAGGGCCAGGAGAATGCGTTGCGTTGAATGGCACCTCTGTCCAAAGGCTCAATCGACCGTTGACGGTTGATGGCCCTCTCTATTGTCGAGGACTCGGGTGGCCGTTTCCAAGAAGAAAGGTGCGGGACAGGTGACAGATTAGCGCAGTGAGATGCGCAGTCGTCGCAATAAAGAAGCAAGTTGTCGGGTGTCACCACCCTTGGCTCGTGTCGCGAGTACTTCCAAAACATTTCTATCGTATTCTTCCTTCCCCGACCTGCTTCCCCGAGGGTAGGCATGTGTGGTTCTCGTGCGTTTTGGTTTTTCTGCTCCTCTTTTTCCTTTTTCTCTGTAATGTGCGCGTAGCGTGTGCTGGTGCCCTGCCTGTGATGCCATGAAAACAGTAATCTTTAGTCCCTTGTGTAAACGTACAAACATCATGAGAACTCGAGACATGATAAAACTCCACCTGCAACCCAGACCGGCCGATTAAAACCTAAATAATAAGAAATAGTGGTAAAGATGAAGAGTTGACCCCTGTCTTCTCGGCCATCAAGAAGCCTCATGGTGACGATAGTAGTCCCAAGAGGACATCTCACACCCGCCCCGCCAACACTGTAAAACGGCAGTCGACAGGGCTATCTGGGAGAAACCCCTTTTATTCGGGTAAAGAAAGGAGGCCATCCCTCTTTGACCCCAAAGTGCCCGTGTAGGAAGTTCGGAATTGTGATAGGCATCTTGTAGATAAGAAATGCCCGAGCCTCTCCGCGCCGCCTTTGCTTTGCTTTCCGGTGCTCCTACAGAAACACGGTGAAATGTGCGACAGTAAGAGCCGGTGCAACGTTGCTAGCCGCGCCACTCCCGCCACTCAGTCACCGTGTTCCTCCCTCCCCTGTTTGGTGCGCCCCGGCACGAGTCGTTCAAGCACGGCGAGAGCGCGTGGTGGCGCCGTTGGTCTTAGCTCCGGTGGAGACGGCCTTGCCATTGGAGGACGCGGCGGCCTTGCCGACGAGGATGTCATGCGGATCCGGAAGGGGGCCTGGCTCATACGACGGACCGCCTTGCGACCGCTAGGAGCCTTGGAGTCCTTCCTATAGGTGGCGAGGTAGAACGAGATGAAGAGGACGAGGTAAGAGCTGAGGATGCCAATGCCGGAGATGGCGGCGAACTCCTCTCCAGCGCACCTGCCAGCATTGGGGAAGTGAGGGAAATACGTCGACGCAAAATATGTGTACGAGGCGAAGTAGACAAAGCCTAAAAAAGAGGGCACCGATTAGTCAGTATATATGGCGCGATTCATCGTGTAAAGCATGCAGGTCTTTTGTTTTCGCCCTTCATTGTTCTGCTTCTTCCTCCATTGGCCATCGCATGGCCCTTTATCACAAAGACAAGCGGCGCGGGTTTCTGGTACATACCGAGATCAATGATGAACTGGACAATCTGGAGCTTCGTGACCCATTCCTTCCACCAGATACGGATGCCACGGGCGGACTGGAAGTAGTACCAGTACATGACAACGTGAACCGTCAAGTTTAGGGTGATGGGGACCCAAGAGACGGCGGTAGAGCCGAGGAGCTGAGTGTAGCAGAGGAGAGCGGTGGCGCCGTGATGGTAGCAGTGAAGGAAGGCTAAGATAAGGGGGATACGTTAGTATGCTAAATCGGTGGGCGCGAGGGCGACTGTGGTGTCTCTTACTCAAAGGCTTCTTCTTGAGGAACAGGAAAACGGTGTCGAGAAGTTCGAGGTATTTGGTCAAGTAGTTCAACTAACAACAATGGATGCGCTGGTTAGTCAAATGGACCTAAGGGATCGCATGTAGCACGTAGAGATACGGCACAGGCGCCAATTGGCTTCGCGCCCAACACGCACTCCGGATTGCGCAGCAAATAGACTTGGATGGACAACCAACTTACGTAGTAGAGAACAACCAGGGGCTGAGTCCAGCCACCTTCCCTGTCACAGATGGCGTGGAAGATGCCGCCACGGACGACGGTGGGTAGAAGCTGCTCAATGAAGAGAGCGAGAAGAGCACCGCTGATGAGGGTGAGATAGAGGTTGTGGAACAAGAAGAGGCTCTTGAGCTTGAAGGGCTCACGGTTGCGCATCAGCTCGCGCCCACCGAAGATGACGATGTAGTAGCAGACGATGAAAATGCTCGTCTCCTTCAGAGTCGACATGGGGGTGACGCCGGCCTGGAACTTGAAATCATTGGCAGAATATCCCATGACGGCAGTGAATGCCTTGTCGAAGATGGGCCATAGCGCGATGCCGAAAGGACGATCGAGGGTAGGCGCGCCAAAGGTCTGACCGAGAACAGTGAACGCCTCAGCGACGGGAGGCGTGGTGGGAGCGTCCATTGTGTTGGACTGGTGCTTGTTCCAATCGCTTGCGATGAAGTGAAAGGGAGAAGAAAAAAAAAAGGCGGAAGGACAAGGAAAAGAAGAAGAAAAAAAAGGGGCGAGAGGGCAAAGAGCCGCGGTATTAGAACGCCCTTGATTCTCGCGTGATCAAAAAATGATGACGGGAAGAGAAGAAAAGAAGAAAAAAAGGAGTGATCCTCGAAAGGGGTGTCGAGGGGGAGAAAACGAGTATTTGTCCCTTGGATGGTGGAAAGGAAAAGAAAAAATTTCCCTGGATGTCGCAGCTGCTGGGAATGAAGGTCTTGGAAGGAGAGCCGGGGTTGACCTCTCGGAAGACGCGGTTGGGGCGTGACAAATGAGGATCCGAGGCGCGACGCTTCTGCCTTCTTTTTTCTTTCTTTCTCTTTTTTCTTTTCTCCTCCTCTCTTCCTCTTTCGGGATGGGGTTTTCTGATGATAGATAAGGAAAGTAAAGGAGTGACGGGAAGGTGTAAGAAAGACAGGCTCTAAAAGGGAAAAAAAAGGACCTGAGAGAGGAAAAGGGAAGGAGAAAAGGCTGCAAGGGCAGGCGAGAGAATAATTTGTATGATTAGTGTTGGGGATAAAGGGGGATAAAACGGGAGGAAGGAACTTTTCCTGGAAATTTTAAGTTGGGAACAACACAACATTGAACACCAGCAGCACTGGGCGGAGCAACTGCCCCCCTCCCCAGTACAGGTACAGGCACAGGCACGCCAGGCCAGTAGTGCGCATTGTCAGACGAAATCAAAACTGGATCCCAAAGACCTCGGTGGCCTATTATTGGCAGAAGGCCTCGAGAGTTGAGCTATTTGAGCATATTGAAGACCATCAACTGCTACTAGAGCTTAGCCCAAGAATCCCAAGAATCCCAAGAACCCCCGAATTGCACATCAGAGTTGCCAACTCGCATCCAGGCTCCCGAGTACCTTCGTCGCAACAATACTAGCAACCGAACCGATGCGTGCTCCACGTCGAAGCGAGAAGAAGGCCTGGCATCCATCAAGCCGTCCCGTCCCACTCGCCTCCCCTCAAGTGCTCCCAACATTCTCATGCCAAAGGGCTCAAGCTCCACTAGTGTAGTGTGCATTCAAGAAGAACCGCGAACGCAACCCCCTTGTAGTTCGTTCATTCGGCTCGGCCGTTCTCTGGTTTCGTCCTATCTCGCAGCTCTCTCATAGGGCGCAATTAAGGTGGGAATCCAAGGTACCCTGACAGCCCACCCTGCCTTGCATGTACATCTAGTTTCGATATTCGCTGTAACCTCCTGGGGAGGTTCTCACAGGACACTTCGCGTCCATCGATCGTTGTGCCGCAAGGCCAATTTGTCTTGAAGAGAGATCGAAGGGTAAACAACGATCTCCTGTGGATGACTGGACCAACCCTAAAACATGAATGTGAGTTCTCTCTCGCTCTTTCCCCTTTTTTCTTCTATTTTTCTTTCGTTCTTCTTTCTCTTCTCTGAATTTCTCCCTCGGTCGATCTCGAGTTGCATCAATTCACCTGATACGGGCTTGACAGGTAGTATTGGACCTAGCGCATCGCGTGCTCCGTGTCCTATTGTGAAGGGGCCAAACGGCAACTGCCATTGTTAGGATTGACAGGTTTTGTTGAGTTGGTTATGAGTGGGAGCAGCTCCGTTTACCCCAGTATTCGATTGCTATTCTCCCGAGCTTCCACGGCACCGAGGAGACGGCGAAGCTAGACATATTCCATATACATTATTCGAGTCGCGCCCCGGGCCCCTGTCTCAAGCACATGCTTCGAATGTTGCTGCTTCGTCCCTTGCTGGCATCTCCGAGCTTCGTTTTTGACCCATTGCCTCCACTCCCATCGTCCTTGCCATCGTCGTGTTAGCTTTGCAACCTTGGGAAGGTGCTCTTTGTGTTTCTTTGTTGGCAGTCGCATGTGATTATGGTGCCCCAGCTACATTTCCGATGGTCCAATCATATGATGCACGTCGCCTGGACTTAGAAAATTTGGTTTCCCCCTTGTCAGTGCATGTACTTTTACTTGGCCCTACACGTGGGGAAATTGCCCAGCGCCCCAAGCTAAGAGATTGGATCAATCCTCATTCGACAAGTGTATTGTTCGGTCTTGCTTTGGGAGCCCTCCTTTTTCTCGAGGCATCAAACGCCGTGGAGAGTGTGGATGGGGTGCAAGATGTCCATCATCACTCCTCCGATCAAGTCAAAGGGGTGATGCCGACCATTTCAAGTTGCGTGGTGCGTACGAAGTATTATTCCCCATTGTTTAATATCCACTTCTTCGTCATCCTTTCTGACTGTCTCCTCCTTGCCAAGAAATTCTTGATGGGGAGCGACAATTGCATTTGGTGGACCGTTTCCGCCTGCCCCCGGGAAGCTGAGTCGTTTCCGTGCTGTTCCTTGGCTTGGGGGTTTCGTATCAACGGATTATGCGGCACTCGAGAAAAGCCCAAACTCGTCGAATGCCAATGCCCCAATCGTTTGTCTCTCGGCGTTTTCTGCCGTGGTGCCAAGGCGAGCCTGAGTTGCAGCTCGATTCCTCTTCCATTTTAGGCATTCCCGACATTGACGAGAAAGGATATAAAACCAATAGCTTGCCCATTGGGAGAATTTAGCATTCAATCATCTCCCCGACCACACTAACCCTTGGGTATCCCTTCACGCCCCTCATGACCTTTTTTCTCTTTTCTTTTTCTTGCATGATCCCTTCTTCTGAGGGAGGGAAAGGGGTGGGAGTGGTTGATTGATGACCTGGCACCAGTTGAGCCTCGGCCCCCGCTAGGTGGGTAATAACATTACATGTAATAACGGGCTCCCTTCTGGAATGCCCTCATTTCCTTGATAGTGAGGAGCTTTAGCGCCTGCAGCGTCTAGGGTATCCGGACACCATTACTTGTTCGGTCACATCGACGCATGCCTAGCAATTTGTGGGACGAGTAAGATTGGATTGAATTGGGGGACTGAATGAAAGGGCAAACTGGGGAAAAAGAAAGCCGCAAGGGGACCCATTACGCGCAGCAAGTAATAATGAGTGGGGGTTCGCGATCGGGACGGATGGCACGACAGCCGCGGTGACACAGATGCAGCTCGGCGGGAAAGGGGAAAAGGGGGAGCGCCGGTTGCGTCGATGGCGATCGCTCGGGATGTGCCTGTGTCTTAGCCTATGGTGGCACTTTCACTGAAGCATCCATTGAGTCCTACAAGTACGCTAGGTTCCTTGTCCATCTTGTTGCAATGGACATTCAAGTTGGACGTGAAGCACCGCATGTAGGTTAAGTTGGGCGCTGGCGCCCGTTTGTTCCTTCCCTTCCACCTTCTTAAGGATGAAGGGTCAGCGTGCTCGGCTCAGCGTGAAGACTTTTGGAAGTCATCAACAGGGCCAAGATGGGTGGTGAATCCCATCTCCCGATTCTCCACACTTTTGACAGATCGCTCTCTCCAGTTCGCCGGGTGATGGCTTGAAAAGGAACAAAAAAGGGAGAAAAAACAATTCATACTGTCCTGGCGCCACTGATGACCTCAGACCACAGGAAACGCCAGGAACAGAATGTTGTTGGGATCGGCTCCTTTTACATAATCAATATTGAACGGTCTTTCACTGGGCGATGTCTGGGTTGAGACAGCCTTAGTCATCGAAAGCATCCTTCACTGGAGGGCTTTGCCTTCCTCGGTCTCTGGAGAGCCTGACAAGAGCGGGCATGATTTTCCGCCACAGGCCAGGCGCTGTTGCGCCTCAGACTTGTGCGCCCAGCCACTGCTGACCAAAGCCTCCCCATTCCAAACAGCCTCTCGCCCATTCGTTCCCCGGGTCGGGCCTGTGGAAACTTGGACTCAGAGCCAGGCCAGCAAAGCCGTGGGAAAAACATCCCAAGCAAAACCGAAAATTTTAATTTCCACTCCCCTAAAAGCTCCTCCCCAAAAGCTCCATCTCAAACAACCTTCCCGCGCCCTCCTCCTCCCTCGAACGCCGGCCGATTCGCTCCCATCGTCCCTTTTCTTTTTGCATCCGGGCAATTGATCCCTCTCTCGCCAACGATCAGAAACAATGTCCTCCTTCGCCCTTTTCCGAGTGGCCCGCGGCGCCTCCCAGACTCTCGTTCGCGCCGCTCCCCTGCGACAGCCCATCACTGCCCGCGTCGCCCCCGTCCGCATCGCTACCTTCACCACTACCGTCCGCCGTCTCGATTCCCACGAGGAGACTTTTGAGGAGTTCAACTCGAGGTGAGTCTTCTTTTGAATTTGGTTGGATTTTATTTGTCATTGTTGTCGCCTTGATTGTATTTTGGGGGTCTTGGTTGTTTCCTCGGTCGGCTTTTTTACTGCAAAAGCTTGAGCTATTTCTGCGGCTACAATCATGCCACCTTAGCCCGAGGGCCAACCAGAAACGCCGCTTTTCTACTCAGTCGCCCACCAGCCTCGCACCCACCCACGAAATCGGACATCGCATTTGGAGAAACCTTTTCTTGTTATTATTATGGCCAATATGCAACATCTCTAACCTTGCCGTCCCTCTTTTAGGTTTGAGAAGGAATTCGAGCAGGTTCAGGACGTTTTCGAGCTCCAGGTAAGGTTCAATTGATGATTCCTTCCGCCATGAACCCAGAGCGTTCTTCGTATCGGGCACACCCGGCAACCCCCACAACCCCCTGTCGGTGGTGGTCTGACATTTTCACCACCACCACCACCACCACTTGCCTCCACCAACAGCATAGACGACTAACATAGCCATTGCTGTAGCGCAACCTCAACAATGCCTTCGCCTACGATCTCGTCCCCGCTCCCGCTGTTGTCGCTGCCGCGATAAATGCCGCGAGGAGGGTTAACGACTTCGCTACCGCCGTCCGTGTCTTTGAAGGTACGATATTTCACTTCATGTTGTCTGGGGGAGTGTAGACAAGGGCCAATTGTTTGGGGGCGAGGCAGCGTTGCTGCCCTTGTGCTCATCACCCCCTTCAGGCCCTTGGCGCACGGGGATTCCAACCCTGAATGACGTCCGTTGGCTCTTTTGCTAGACAGTCCCCCACCCTTCGCTTCCGGCTAGAAACGCTGAAACTGACTTATCTCCTTTCGCCACTGTAGCTATCAAGGCCAAGGTCGAGACTTCCGGTCAATATCAGGAGTACCTCGACGAGCTCAAGCCCCTCCGTGAGGAGTTCGGCATCGAGCTCAAGGAGGACCTCTACCCTGAGGAGAAGAAATAAATAATGCCCCAATACTTTCTTTAACTTTTGTAATCCGACACTCCCCTCAAACCTCAAATAGACGATGGATCGCCCGTACCACACACCAGGGACCAAGGGATACCGAGGAAGAAAGAATTCTGGGCGGGCAAGAAACTAAGTCTCGAGAATACCGTGTACGGGCAGATGCATCCCCTACGTCTGGTCTATATATGGTCATTTTCGAAACTGCCCAAGAAAAAAGGAAACAAGGAAAAAGAAAAGAAACCCCCAAACAAGGCTCCGGGGTTGGAACCCGGAACTCTTTGTACATCTTAGTTGTTTGCGTCGTGTCTTTTTTTCTTTTTTTTTTTTTTTCCACCCAAGAGTTGTTGAAAGATAGCAGGCTCCAGAGAGTAGTTGGAAGACCGGGATAGAAATGGATTTCTTTTTTCAAAACATAACCAAGTGTTTGCACGCGCCCGATCTAACTGCCTCTTACAAGTTTCACTCCATTGACCTCGGCACCAACGTTCTCTTGTGCCGCTTCCGTCATTCGGTCAACCACGCCTGGAAAGACGGCGTGCTGGGGCCACAAGTCGATGTTTGGCAAATCCCCAAATACTCTACATGGGAGGGTCGGACGCAGCTCAGCTTGCCTTTGCCTCCTCGCGTTGGCAACACACATTAGACCAAAGTGGGTAAGCAAGGAAGGATTTCCATAATTATCGTCTGTTGTGCCCGGAAACGCTTTGCAACAGACTTGTACCTGTCAACTCCTACATTGACGTGAAGCCTTCAAAGCCGTGTGTGGGAGCTATTTCGTTTCTATAGCACGACGAGTCGCTACCAAAGTCTCACCAACATAAGAAAGAGTAAAGAGAAGATAGGATATCCCCGGTCAGGACGCAAGTATATGTACACCCCTTCTATTTATGAGGGAAGGTATTGGAAACATCATAGGATGAAAAGAAGAGGCCAACTCAATACACCGTAGGATAAGGGACCGTTGCTTAAGACGGAAAGGAAAGCAAAAGCACAAATGAAAAAGAAAGGCGTAAGTATGCCAACAGAGGCGGCGAGTGCATTCACGCCCACCTTGGAGCTCCCTGGAGTTCGGACCTGGTTTTTAGGTTGTCTTAGTCCCTCAGGTGCCCCCAGCGGCCGTTCCCAGGCTGCTGCCCAAATAACGGCACGCCGCTCGCATCCGTCGCCGCCGCAGGACTGGAGCCTCTACTCGGTGGGCCCCCTACCCCCGGTGCAGCTGCACCTGCCGTCACCGCGCGACCCGCAGCCCGAGGGCTCATAACACCCATGTGCGGGCTTCTTGGTACACTTGCCTGCCTCGTCTCTCGTCTCGCAGCCTTGAGAATCCGAACTTCGTCACGGAGGCGGTCGAGCTCCCACTCGCGCTCGCGTAGGGTCGCCGCTTGTTCGTCGTTGAGTCGCGCGAGCCGGGCAGCCTGGTTCTCGAGGTTGATCTGGTGGATCTGCCGTAGGTTTTCCGATGCTTTGTGCTCAAGATCCGCGATGCGACTCGTGAGGTCGCGGTTCTCGTTGCCGAGATCGCTCGCCGACTGTGAGGCGTTTTGGTATGCCTCACGCGTGTAATCGAGCTCCGCTCCGCGCTCTCCACCTTCTTCGTAAGCTTCTGGATCTCGACTTCCGCCTGTTTTAGCCTCTCATCCTCTGGTTTCGAACTGTCAGGCTCCGGTATGGTGCCTGCGACGGGCGCTTCCGGAGGCTCTGCAGTTGCTGCATTCGTGGTAGTCGCGGAGCAGCACCAGCCAAAGCAGCGGGCGCGGGACCGTCGCTCGGCTCGTTGGAAGCATGTGTAGCCTTGAGCTCGGCGAGTTCTTTGGCAAGCTTAGATTTGGCTTCTTGGGTGGCCGAGAGGCGTTCCGACAGTTTCTTTACCTCGAGCAAGGCCGCGTCCCTCTCACGGCAGAACCGCCCCCTGTCTTCTACGGCAGAAAGGTGATCCTTTCAACAGCAGCCGTGGACTTGGCGTAGCTGTTGTTTTGCATTTGAAGGTCCTCATTCATCTGCCTAAGCTCCTTCACCAGGGCCCTGAGCTCCTGTAATGCGGCACTTCTCTCATTGAACTGAGTCGGAAAGATTAGCAACAAAACTTCTTTGATTTTTTTCTTCTTGTCAGCCGCGGGCGGCTAGCGCGCCGGAACACATACCTTGACCTCCATGGCAGCTAGTAGAGATGTCGGCACAAGCGTTTCATGCTTCAAGTCCTCACGGTCCAGTGCCTCGGGACCGAGACAACGGATTATGGGGGCAAGAGCTTCGACTTGTTCAGCGTTCACCATAGACGCAGACTTATTCGAGATTCGGCGCCTCTTCGTTGCGAGGCTTTCGGTATCATCCTGAAAAAAGATTGACAAACAGGTTAGCAACGCCAAACACGCAGCTTGGATGCTCGAGAATAGAACTTACAAGCTTGCGCTTCTTGCTCTGTAAAGACTCGATCTCAGCAGGCTGGCTTGATTCGAGGTAGAAATTGAAAATTTCGTCGGGGATGGGGATGGGCTCCCACGTGAAATCTTCGCTATAGTACTTGAGTTGGTTGGCGAAGCGCGCCGCGGTCTCGTGAGGCGGCTCACGTCCTACGTCTGGGTTGAGGATCAAACGCCGTAATTTGGTGAGGCCGATGACGATGGCGTTCTTGTGGTCGAAGCTGGGCATGTCGGGATCCTTTTCGGTGATGCTGAGATCGAGGTGTTCGATCGAGTGAGTAAGAACTAACTGCAAAACCATGGGCTGCCTGCTTTCTGATGGAGTATAGTCGCTGAGGCGGGAGGCGACGTTGGAGCGCTTAAATTCGTAGTCGAAACCAATGATGAGATCAAAATCCGATGTTCTCTCTACTAATGGCTGGTTGGGCAGAGACAAGACGATGTTGATGGGCCACTGGGCGTGGTCATACTTCATATCCCCGAGCCCCGTCCGCGAGTATGCGTAGTGTTCCGCGACGACAAGATTCTCTAGTAGGAACAAAATCTTTTCCGAGCGTGCGACAATAAGAACCTTTTGGGGTGGTTGCGGATGCTGTGCAAGACTTCCCAGACGAAGGCGTACTTGGAGTTGGACTCGAACGCATACTTTTGTATCTCCTTGGGCGAGAGCTTCTTGAATGAGCGCGCATCTAGCTCAGGTGGGAGGTCGCAGATGTTGAGAAGGCTCAAGAACAGTTTCTCAATCTTGTGAACGGATGAAGGTCTAGGCGTCCGCAATACTTCGTTGTGAAAGACTTGGCAGAAATCTTCGATATCGGGTCGGGATTGAAGGATTATATCGTCGTAGAGAGGCCTGCGGCTCGATGAGAAGGGCAGCGTGACCATGTATTCCTTCACCTCCGTAGAGTAGCCTGCGCGAGACGGCCCGCCAGCTTCGCTCGCTTCATCGGCCGAGTCGTTGGTCACATCACTCGCCGCATCGATGGGGACTCGCTGTGGCGGAGCAAAATGTCATGATGCCCAGGCAGGCGTCGGCCGCTGGTATGAGGAAGCTCTGTCCCGGTAGTCAGGTCAGAGGGGAACACGCTGGCGGGGTTTAGTGTCAGGGGCTGCAAGTCGTTGGGGGCAATCGTAGGATGGTCCATCGGCGCAAGTTGTGCCGGGACGATACTGCCCCCAAGCGCGACGACCGGAGGCGGGTGAAATAGTGGTGCGCTGCCGGGCCCGGGGACGCCTTCGGTCCCTGGGCGAGATTCTGGCTGGAAAGGTGCGGCTAAGGGGTGCGCACCTCCTTCAGCGTGAGCGACGCTCGAGAGCATAGGGTCTTGGGTCGCCCTCATTGGGGATGGTTGCGTCTCGGGAACCTGGTCGGCGTGGCTGCTTGGTTGTAAGGATGAGGGCATGAGGGCGCCGCCGCCACCTGTGACAAGAACTGTTGTTGCATCTCGAGGAGCTCATCTACCGCCGAGCTCGGCGGAGCAGGCGTTCCGTCCATTGTCAGTGGGGGTTGGCTTGGAGCAGGGTGTTGACTCCGAATGCGGATCCTGATCCGTTCCGGAGAAGATGATATCGGGTCGTGATTCCTGCGAGCGAGGCCTCTATTGATGATTTTGATGATTGGGGGTCGCCGGCTTACAAACGCTGGATAGGGCTGTGGTCGGCGTAGAACCGTTTCCGGGACTGCTCTTTCGCCAGGGCCAGAGACTGAGCTACTGGTGAGCCTTTGTGAGCTGTCTAGCGGATCCGGGCCGACTTGGGTTTGGTAGACGTAGCTGTCGCGAGGCTGAGCGGAACCGAAATCGGCAGTCCTAGCTTGACTGGACTCGCGTCCTCGACTATTCGAGAGGGTCTCCGGTATCCGTAAACCGTCCGCACTCTGCTGGGACGGGAAAGAGTTGCGGATAATTTCGGGGAAGGGTGGGAAAGCTGGGCTGCCGGCGAGGCGGAAAGTGGCGGGAGAGTAAAGGGCGGCTGTGTCAAGAATTGGGGAGAAGACTGCGAGTTGCTAGGTTTTGGCAGGAGCAGGCGGTGGAGGGGCCCAATCCTCTGGGAAGATTTATACCGACCAGTATATGAGGAAGGGATAGAAAGAGGGCTCTGGCTATGGGTGCGAAATGAATCGGGCTGGCGAGAAGGTATGCTTAATTGTGATATCGGTGCAACCGCTGGACTGTTTCGATCCTCAGTTTCTGTATCTGGACGTCGTAGTACTTCGGGCAGGGAGGGAGCAGAGGCCACGGAAAACCCTCTAGATCCGTTTATCGACTCTTGCGAAAAAGACGCGAGCCTGGGTCCCTGGAAACCGTTTGAAGGGGGCCCGTAGTGCAGGCTCGGAGATTGCGGCAGACCCAAGATGGCACGGAGGCTATCGGAGGCGGCGCGCGGGTCGTTGGGTGTGTCGTGACTCTGAGATGAGTCTGCCTGGGAGTCAGGAATCACTCTACTGCTGGGGCTTGGTCTCGGGATCGGCGGGGATGAAGGAGGGAGGAGGAGTGAGCTTTGAAGCTGCGAGGGTGGTGGTGGCGAGGGCGGTTGTGGCGAAGACTGTGGCTGCGAGGGTCGTGGCGGCGAGCTCTGTGAGGGCGCGATGCTGAGATAGTCGTCGGGGTTGACAGTCGGCGCGCGGGGAGTTCCACACGGAGGTCAGCACTACGATATGCGGGGACTGCGCGTGCCATTCCCGTGTCGGCCGTGATTGGGAGCCTTGTGAACTAGTGAGGGGTGAGGACGATGCCGATACGATGAGTCTCAGCCGTGGCCGTTTGGCGGGACGCTCGTAGGCCTGGAGGGATGTCGCTCGCGCGGCTGAGTCGGAGGAAGGCGGCGGTAAGTCTGGGGGTCGGCTATTTCGCGGAGATGGGCTTGGGCTCGAGTCTGGTAATCGAGGTTGAGGATGCTCTCGGGCGGTTTTCAGCAATCTCCACTCTCTGATCGCATCAGCCGTAACTTCGCTCGCTCGAATCTGACAAGGGCCCCGGATTATTAGTCCCGCGTCAAACAAAAAAGGGGCCGAGATGAATAAGAAAAAAAGAGTGGGGGAGGGGAGGCAAGTGAACTATGACGAACGACAAGATGGCACACTACATACCCACCAGGGCTCGTAAGGCTCCCCAGTCTCTGGATTTAGTCCTTCCCAGTCGACAAGGTACTCGAGTTTGCCGAACTTTGTTTTTCGCTCGTCTAGAATAGCTTTGATGGAGTACCAGTCGTCGTCATTAGTGCTTGAGATGTAGGAGGGAGGAGGATTGGTGCTGCGTCGTCGTCTAGACATTAACGCCACGGTCGCAGTTCACGATCTGTATATTTAGGAGGGACCGCGAGGCTATGACCGGGGAGTCATGTCAGTTGAACTTTCCCGCAAGGCTGAGACTTGAGGGGTTGAGGGCAACTGGGCTGGTCCAGTGGAGAGGTACCTTGACTTGAGGGTGTTGGGCGCTGTGCGACTAACGATGGGAATTGCGTTAGTGGTCTAATGCCAACGAGCAGACAAGGCTAGCCCGGTCGATGTTGTTATTAGTGTTCCACAAGCAGAGGAGAAGAAAAGGTACTGCTTCGCTTGGCGGAGGGTACTTGGCGGTACTTAGTTCAGAGCTGGGACCATATTGTTGTTGCGAGGTAGAGAGGGTGAACCAACATGAACGGATATCGCTTGCTTGGAGAAAAACCATATAAAGATGCAGCACTTGCAGATGGAAAGGAAAAGCCTGGGTCAGCTAAAGAAGATGGATGGACAACAATGGAAATTTAACAGAGGGAAAAGGCCACCAGAGTTGGTCTTTCTAGACCAATTATGGGAGACAACGATGAAGGGCAAAAAATAAGATGGATAATATGTAGGGCCTGAATGCTGACGTAGAAACGGAGGAAAACGAGAGAGAAGAGGGGGGGCAAGGTTAACCAAGAGAGAAAGAAAGGTAAGACAAGAATAAATCTCTTCTCCTCATCTTCTAGAAATGTGAAGAACACTTGGGCAGCAGAAAAATATAAAGGATGAAGTTGAGCTGCATGTCCAGTCCTGTGGGCGTGTTGTTTCGAAACTTTTTTCGCTGCCTACTGGAGCAGCTTTCGTCAACAGCGAGTTTATTATTACGGCGGTTGCGGAGAAGACAATGCACAAGAAGCGGTATATCACAGGTACGTCTTCCGCAAACACGCGCAGCAGAGTAATATTGTTATTGCGTGTGTTGTCATAGTCTGGCCGACCTGTGGCCTGGCCAAGCTTCACTCTTCGCTTTCTTCGCCTCCTCTTGGCTGACGACCCTCTCCATCTACTGGCGGAGAGGCCAGGTTCCGGGGCCCGGGCCAACTCCTCCTGAGGAGCAAATAAGTAAAAAGACCAAAAAAACCCCTCCTAATAAACACCTCTACTCCCATCTTAGGCTTCCATCACATTTTCACATCGGACGCTGCGAAAACCTTTTTCACTGCCGGCGAGGGTGAAGGCGGCACTGTTGCCAAATCGCAGAGCGCGGCAATGTCATTCCATTCCAATAGATCCTTGGTTGCCCGCCTGAGTACCTATCAAGTACCTTGAGCTTGCCGTACCTTACGGCGGAGTTCCCAACTGAGTGGAGGTCCACGGCTGAAGGCGGGTTCAAAGCGACCGCATCACGTGACTCTTAGATATTTCCCGACTCGGGAGGACGTCGCGGTCTCATCCCAGCTGGCCACTCAGGCCTCAGAGGTCACGCTGTGCATTTTGATCTCTGACGCTGCTCCCGTCAATCATCTAAAATCTGCCCATACAGTCGGGCTGTTACTTTCTTCGTGGTGGGCAAGAGACCCACATGTCAACATCGCTTCCTTCTCGCATCCTTCGTAGCCTTTAGCCCTTCCGACTGAGAGGTGTATCTCAGCCCACTCGTACACCATATAATCATTGACGACGCCTTGCTTCGAGGGCTCCACTCTCTCTCCCTTGCCGCACCCCGTACGCGACTATCCCCATCTTACTTCTGGCGGCGAGCAAGCACAGTCGCCCTTCCCCCCTGCCCACATTGGCCACGCGTTTCCCTCTCCCACCTGTCGAGCATTGGTCTCGAAAATCTCGACGAGTTGCGTTTTGAAAGGCGCGCGATTTGAAGCAGCCCTTTTTCATCTCGAATCCCGAATCCTCCTTCCCGCTCGAATAGCGCGACCCGCCCTCCTCGATTTCACCTTCCACCTCATGTTCTCGCTGCAATGACCTACCGAGGCTCTCTGCCTTCGGGGCAGGGGTTCAACGGCGACCAGCGCCTTCCCCAAGCCCCATACCACCAGATGTACGGCAATATACAACCCGCTGGATCGCAGTTTCCCGACATGTCTTATGCGATGGGAGGCGCCGGACTCCAAGGGCATCAAATGCAGCCCCATGCCCAGCAGCAACAACCGCATCAACAATACAACCAATACCAGCAGCAAGCCCAGCAATCGCATCATCAACAGCATCAGCAACATCAGCAACATCAGCAGCCGCAGCAGCAGCATCTTCAGGGATATTATGGGACAAACATGATGGCAGCTAATGGGAGCCTGCATAGTCCCGCCCAGCTTGCCCCCTTCCATAACGTTTACAGCCAGAACTTACCCCAGCAGCACACACCCCATCAAGCCCACCAGCAAACACACCAGCCGCAGGTCCAGGCGCCTCCTCGGTCCCCATCGCTCATGCAGTTTGACGGCCAGTCGCAGTCGCACATGGTGGGCCGTTCGACACCCGTTTACCCCCATCAACAACTCCACATGCAGCAGGCGCAGCGCATTCAGCAAGCGCAGCAGCTTCCCCGACCCATCCACTACTCTCCCTCCCCGTCCTGTCTCATTCGCTCCCCCGATCGCGTCTCCCATGGCTGCGGCGGCGTCGCCTGCTCGACATTCGCCAGCCCAGCAGACCATCAGCCCCGAATCCATGCACTTGACCATGCCCGCGATGCCTCCCATTCGATCTCCGGTGACCTCTATAGCACCTAAGCCCGTCCGACAAGCACCGAGCCCGGCCATTAGCCACAGTCCAGCCATCAGCAAGAGTCCGGCGGTCGGAAATAGCCCGGCTATTGGCAATAGTCCTGCCATCAGCCACAGTCCCGCCATTAGCAAAAGCCCCGCCGTGGGCCGGAGCCCGGCCATCAGCAAAAGCCCAGCCATCAGCCAAATTTCGACCATACACCCAAGCCAGGTCCTGAATCCAAGTCCAGTGATTAACCCAAGCCCGGCTATCAGTCAAAGCCCTGCCATCACCCAGAGCCCCATCTTCTCCGCTAGCGGTTACTCGGAGGCGCAGCAGCGATCGCATGCCAGCCCCAAGACGATGATCAACTCACCAGCCCTATCGGCGAGGTCGTCGAGCATATCAAAACGATCACCCTCTGTTTCCGGGAGGCCTTTGGTAGCCGACACGGCGTCGATGCTCGTCTGCGTTGCGGAAGAGTGCTTTGCCAAAGCGCGGGGAACCTGCAAGATGTCGTGGCGTCCTCATCGGGGGCGGCCGTATCGGAGTATCAAAAGCTCATTGCTACGGGGCTCTCGTGCCTGGAAAGCACTCTACAGAGCAGTCGTCTTACTCCTCGACAGGAAGCCAAGATCCGGCTCCGGTATGCTTCAATCTTGTATGAAGATACGGAGAGTTTGATGGAGGCCGAGACGGCGCTTTCGAAGGGCATTAAACTTTGTGACAAGGTAAGACGCCAATTCCCCCTCCTCCCTCCCCCTCCCGCACTTCCACACCTTCTCCACTCTAGCGCCTGTCCAACATCGGGGTGCGAGGTTATGAGCACGAATGAGATTACTAACGCATGCGGTGTTCATCCCTACTATAGCATCGGTTCCTGGATCTCAAGTACTCCATGGCTTACTTGCAGGCAAAGCTTTTGTTCCAGAGGGGCCATACCAAGGGCGCTCTTCACGCGGCGGACCGCATGATCAGCGAGATTGCGTAAGTTTTGTTACCCCCGCCCCATGCAAGACCCCTATCCCCCGCATTTCGGAGTCTAACAGTCGTGTCCTAGGTCACGCCACGTGCACTGGAACTACGCCTTCCGCTTTTTAAAGGCCTCGTTCTACCTACAGTCGGGGAGTTCGTCCGATGGGGCAGCACTGGAAAACCTAAGAACGATAGGGACGTTCGCCAACGGCAGGGGGACTACGCGCTGGAAGCCTTTGCTTCTCTCCTCGAAGGCCTTGCTCTCCTCGGGATGACCAGGAGGACACTCTTGACAGGGTGCAAGAATGTATCGCTAAAGCGTCCAAATACCAGCTCATGCCACAATCCCGGATTCCCCAAGTCGACATCTTGATCCTGCTGCTCGACCTTGCGTGCAGCATGCAACAAAAGCAACCGGACCTCATGATCCAGAAACTCAAGGCGCTACAAATCCGCATGGACGAAGCTACCGACTGGCAGACTACGACGGCGTCCTTACGACTTCCCATCAAGAAAGCATCGGGGATGCAGCCCCTCAGCGAAGACACGGCGGCTGTCGTGGAGGCGGGCGGGCCAGAAGACGCCAACGATTACCTCGTCTTCTCCTACGTGGCGAAAGCTGAACTGTACATCCTAGTGTAAGTAGCTGACAGTGTTGGAAAGGCGTTGCTACCCCTTGGGAGCGACTGCTGCCGCTAGAGGGTGACTGTGCTGACCACAAATTATTGATAGGATGACGTTTAGCGGCATCGCATTTGTGTCGAGGTCTACGGGTAGCCAGCATAGGACGTTAGACTTTTGGGAGGAGGCCCTTGACACTCTGGAGAGATGTAGGTTGCATGCTTGCCGTCTTGAACATCTTGTGCGTTGTGTATCGCGAACCCAGCTAATGCTCATGCTGTTACAGGGAACAAGGAAAAGGGTTCAGGGGACGTGATCCCGCTGCCTTCGCTACAGGAGGCGGTGCGCAGAGCGACGTGGAGAAACGAAGTGCATTGCTACCTGCACATCCTGATCGCGCTGTACTCTGCGACGCAAAGTAGATGGGCCAAGGTGAGGGAGAGCCTGGACAAGGTGTACGCGGCCGTTGTCAAATCCGCCGACAGCGCAATGGAGATCATCTCGCTCTATGTGTGGGGGTCTACTATCAGGGAACAGGCGACCTTGAAAAGGCCGTCATCATCTACACGGACCCGAGATTCGAGATTGGAAACGCGACGCAGCAGCGAAATGTGAGGTTAGATATGGCGCTCCTGGCCAAGATGAGTTTGCTGTGGGTCATGGAACACCCGAGGTACCGCAACACGGCGGAGTCAACCAGGCTATTTGAGCAGCTCCGACCGCTTTGCCAGGACCATCACGACGTGGAAATTCGAACGGCGTATAACATTGTGCTAGCCACTATCACGATGCAGCCACCGCCCCCTCTCCAGCAGGTCAAGAATAGCATGTACACGGCGCTCAACGGCTCCAAGATGGTTGGAAACACGCACTTTTTGGCCATCTCACTCAACATTATGAGATGCCGTCTGTTCGAAAACGTCGTCGGGGAGCAGGCGCTCAAGAGTGCCAAGGCAGCATCGACGCAGGCCAAGAGGAACGGCAACTACCTCTGGATGAGTGTTGCTGATGGCATGCTCGCGCATTCGCACGACGTGCAGGGGCAAGCGGAGGAAGCGAGCCAGGCAAATAGTACGGCGGCCGGGTACGCGGCCAAGGCATTGGCAGCAGATAACCCTTAATAGCGAGTGCCAGTTTTCATGCTCCCCCTTGGGAATTTCTTTTTTTTTTCGGGAAGGCTTTTGCTTTCTTTTTTTACTCCTTTTTTTCTTCCTTTTTCGCTCGCAGGCTCAGTTTACATTTAATGCCTCGACTCGAGGACCGGTTTCGCGTGCTCTCTTGATTGTATTGTCCAAGCAGGAATCGGGAGTCTAGGACTATTTACATGGGCAAGGTGTCACTGGCGGATTCATTCTATGGAGCTTGATTCAAGGTTTTGCAATTTGCGTGTACATGCATACAATTGGCTGGAGGATGGCGTATCTGCGTTGAATCTTGAATGGAGACGAGTGGGGAGGGGAGGACGATGTTGGCGATCAAAGGTTCAAGGTGAGGTGAGGGGACTCGGCCATTTTGAGACGACATTTCGAAAACAAACCACCAAAACAAAAGGGAGATGGAAAAGAGATATGGATGCGGGAATGGGAGAAAGAGAGAGAGGGAGCTGGTTTATGTTGATAGATTTGGCTGATGACGATGATATGGGAGCATCGTTGTAGCTCAATGTACAAGTATTTGAAAAAGAATTATTAAAAGAAAAAAATAAGAAAAGTCCTTCAAGTGCTTGCATGTCTACCAGATGACGGATTGTGTAGAGAGCTATAATAGTTGCTCTTGCCATTGAGTTGCATGTTGTCGCAATAGGTCGTTGTCGTCCTTTTTGCCCCTTTAAGAGGCAACTCAATGGCCAGCTAAACGCGCGCTGACCAAGACGCGACTACCCGCGCTTCTCAGCAACAGGGGAAAAAAAAGTTAGCTAATCGACGACCAGAATCGACAAGGAATACTGAACCTCCTTCAAAGCTCTCTTACCACCCTTTTTAGCATTTTTCTTTATTCATTTTCTTTTTTTGGCGACTACACGAACGTTTGTCAGTCCTGTTATTGATTAACTCAGATCCATTAGTACAAAATTACACACCGGCTGCTAATTTTCGAAGCGAATCTATCCATACCTTTGATTTACGCACAACTGCAACACGCTCAACACCAGGCCAAGAGAACTGCGCAACCCCCAAACTCCAAGAAAGAATCTTGTAGTCGAGGCCCCTCCTCCCCACTTCGACAAACATAAACGAACACGAGACGGTCGAAACTGAGCCAGGAACAAACGAAGCGGTCGGAACGGGCGCCAAGGCAGGATGCTGCGCCTGCGAAGCTGCGTCCTCGCCGGCGGGGGCAGGGCGTCCCTCCTCCGAGCGGCGACGGGTGTCAATAGCCGGTGGGCGTCGTCCACGCCGCGGCGGTCCGCCCCCGAGGGGTCGGGCGAGGAGAAACCTGGGCAGGCCGCGAAGAACAAGACGAGACGGGGCCCCGCCAAGGGGCGTGGAGAGGGGACAAGAGAGGGGACCTGGATGAGCTCAAGTCGTCGCTAGCGCAATTGGGCGAGAGCCCGGACGCGACGCTGGGTGAGGCGGAGGAGATTGGTGGCGAGCACCGGTTCGCGTCCATGGGGGAGGAGGCGGAGGCGGAGGCGGAGGATCTCGGAGGCCTGGGGGAGCGGGAGAGCCTCGAGGACGCGGCGGGGGTGGTGAGGTCGGTGCTCGAGGGGAGGGACATCTCGGTGGAGTCGCTCAACGGGGTCAAGGTGCCGGAACCGAAGCCGAGAAGGGGCGGAAGCCAAAGTCAGCGACAGCGGCGGCGGCGGCGGCCGGGGCGGGGACAACAGGGTCGGGCAAGGACAAGGACGGGGAGAGGAGAAGGAGACCAAGGTCAAGAAGGCCAGGTCGACCAAGCCCAAGGAGGACCTGGAGGTGCATACGGTGTCGGCGCCGAGCCTGAAGCTGCAGCCGATACCGCAGGGCCCGCTCAAGGTCCCGCGGCTGTCGTACCACCTGGACCGCACGCTGTTCAAGCCGGGCGTGTACCCGCTGCAGGACCCGCGGTCGCGCGTGTACAACTTTGACCCGTACCTGACCACCATCATGCCCATTGAAGAGTTCGACTTCACCGCGCTCAAGGCGTTTGTGTCGTCGTCGGAAGATCCGCAGCTCATCCAGCTGGCGGCGAAGCACAACAAAAGTACAGCGGGTCGACGTCGAGCATGAGCACGATGCTGTCGCACTTCCACTACCTGCTGTCGGCGTGGCGGCCCATCAACCCGGCGCACACGTCCAAGGGCTTCGTGCCGGAGAGCACCAATTTCACGCGGCTGCTGCGGGCGCCGGCGGCGACTTTCCTGCACTGGAAGAACGGCATCTACGCCATCGACGCGGACAAGCAGTTCGACACGGCCAACATCCTCAGCATGCTGGGCAAGTCGATGGAGAAGCTCCTGACGCTGCCCAAGGAGGAGTACGAAATGTACAGCCGGGCCAAGTCGGACCAGCTGACGGACGAGCAAAAGAATGCCGAGGAGGCGTTCCACTACACGACGCTGGGGGACTTTATCCTACGGTCGCAGCTAGACGCGCACGACCCGCGGCTGCCCAACTCGGGCATGTTCGACATCAAGACGCGGGCGGTGCTCGCCATCCGCATGGACGCGCAAGACTACCAAAAGGGGCTGGGGTACGAGATTCGGTACAAGTACGGGCAGTTTGAGTCGTTTGAGCGCGAGTACTTTGACATGATTCGGTCGGCGTTCCTCAAGTACTCGCTGCAGGTGCGCATGGGCCGGATGGACGGCATCTTTGTGGCGTTCCACAACACGCAGCGCATCTTTGGGTTCCAGTACATACCGCTCGAGGAGATGGACATGGCGCTGCACGGCACGCAGACGGTGCACCTGGGCGACCAGGAGTTCCGGCTGAGCGTGCACCTGCTCAACGAGCTGCTGAACCGGGCGACGGCCAAGTTCCCCGGCAAGTCGCTGCGCATCCACGTGGAGACGCGGCCGACGAACCCGCCGCTGCTCTACTTTTTCGCTAAGCCGGTGACGGACGAGCGCATCAAGGTGGCGCAGTCGATGCGGCGCACCGTCGTGGACAAGTTCGAGAAGGAGATGATGGGCATCGTGCGCGAGGAGGAGGAGGCGGCGGACGAGCTGATGGAGGAAGAAGAGGAAGAGGAAGGGGATGACGAGCATGGACCGGGGGCGGGTGTGATGGGATACTCGGAGGCGCGGTACTCGGACGGGCTCAGCCTGGCGGTGTGGATGGAGATGAACCAAAAGGCCGAGGAGGCGGTCAAGAGCGACGAGCTGGGTGTCGGGTACGTGCGCAGGAACATCGAAGAGGCGCTGGAGCAGAGCGGTTTGGTGGAGGGCAAGACGCCCGAGGAGGTGCGGGCGTACGTCGACACGCTGCTCGAGACGCTGACGGAGGATGCTGTCGGGGAGGAGGCGGGTCTGGTGGAAGAGCATGGTGAGGTGGACGCGTACGAGGAGCTTGTGATTGAAGATCAAGAGCCGGCGTCTGCATCGCCATCGTCGTCGTCGTCGTCGGCGGCGGCGGCGCGCGCGGCGGGCTCTGGCACGGCCGAGGCCAACGTCGAGGGCGGGGAAGCGCGGGACACGGCGCTCTCCTCTGGAGGAGAAGGAGAAGAAGAAGGGAGCATAGAGAGCACCGTGGATGGGGACTTTGAGAGCAACTCGACGCTCAAGGACCTGATTTTGAGGCTCGCGGAGCAGGTCGACGACCGGCCGACGCTCACCCCGGAGGAGGAGTCGATGCTGGAGGAGCAGCAGCCGATGCCGAAGCCGTCCAAGCTGCAAAAGTTTGAGCGGGTGCTCTCGGAGCTTCTGGCTGATTCGAGCGAGTCTGGCGCCACGTCGACTTCTTCCGCTGAAGGTTCTACGGGTGCTTCTACGACTATTGACGATGCTACGACCGCGACTTCTACCGCCGAGGGTGTTGGTTCCGATGCTGCCTCCTCGTCGCCATCCTCGCCCTCGTCTTCTACCTCATCTTCTTCTCCTTCTTCTTCTTCGTCGTCAACTTCGTCCTCAACATCCTCACCCGGATCCACGGCCGAGTCGGGCGAGTTTGAAGAGTTCGACGTGGAGGACAACGACGAGCTCCTGGGCATGATCCTAACGGTGCGCAACAAGGTGGACGGACAGTACGTCACACGGCCGACGTTTGAGAGCCCCGCGCACCGGTGGTCGGTAGAGTACTCGATCCAGACGATGAACGCGCAGCGGGCGCAGACGCTGTACCGGCACGTCAAGGAGCGGCGGCGGCGGGTCCTGAGCGCGGACACGGACCGCGACAGGCAGTGGCACGTCATGTACGGCAGGGCGCTGCCGCGGCTGAGCAGGGCCGGGTCGCGGTTCCGCAACCGGCTGGACAAGGAGACCAAGGGAAAGCCGGTGCACGTGGTGGATAGCGATGAGCCGCTGCCGTGGAAGACGGTGTTTGGGGCCGCGGGGGGAATGCGAAGAAGAAGAAGGAGCGTGGGGAGGAGGGGTCGTAAAAAAAAAGGGAGCATTGAGAAAGGTTGTAAGACTATTTGTTTCTGCATTTAGATGATGCTTGGTTTTGTCCAGTATATTACAATACAATAGATGGCTGACGGGCCTTTGGGCCTTTTGGAAAGGGGGAGGCGAGGCACACGCTGGTGGGTTGGGATGGGATATCCACACACATTCGAGACCGGTGTTGCGAATCTTTCAAAGGGCAACAATGTACACTAAAACACTACACCTCCTTCAATTTTTTTAATCTATTTCTTCAATCTTGAGATAGGGAATGACAGATTATACTTGTACAAGCTTCTCCTGCACTTCTCGACGAGATCAATAGTGAGCTTAACCTCCCTCGATTCTGATTGGCTAGAAATGCGAGAGCACGTTCTCTTTTTTATTGGTCAATAATTGGTTTGGAATACTTTGTACCTCTCCGAGCTCCAACTGCACAAGGTACCTCGCGACCACAGCACGTACCACCGAATCCAGGAGTGTGGGACCCTCCAGCGCCGCCGGACAAGGCTGCATCCAACAAGTGTCGCTAACAAACGAGCTTCGTGGCCTCACCTCAGCGAACCTACGGCACATCAGCGAAACATTCTCTTGGACCTTGGCCCTTTTCTTTTTCTTGGTGTTTTTCCCCCACCACCACCACACACGCTTCACGAATACACCCGTTCTTTGTGTTCCTTTTTTTTTTGTTCCTTCAAGATTTCTGTGTGGTGCCGCCGCCTGCTTCTCGTCTCCCGAGCTCGAGACCATCCAAAAGCCCCACGACATCTCTTGCGATCGACCCGAAACCTCCTACCTCCTACGCTTTTCTCCCCGCATCCCCCAGATCTCCATTCGCCCACCATGTACAACTCATTAAACCGCCTCCAAAACACCTTTAGCTTCTTCACCACCGTCGTCTTCGCCCTCGGCGCCTTCATCGCGCTCTCCGATCTTCTCGCGCCCAGGACGCCCTCGGCGACCGTCAAGCTCGACAACGTCTCAGTGTTTGTCTTCCCCGCCCCCTCGTAGCAAAGAGAAGAAGGGGAAAAAACTAACACGTATACCGTCCTTTTTCTTTTTCTAGAACCAAAGGCCGCGTCCACTACTACTCTTCCAAAAGGAAGAGTACGCCTCCATCAAGTTCTCCCTCGACGCCGACCTCTCCTCCCTCTTCACATGGAACACTAAGCAGCTCTTCGTCTACGTCACCGCCGAGTGGCCCGACCTCTCTGCCGGCGCCGGCGCCAACGCCACCAACTCCGCCGTCATCTGGGACTCCATCATCACTAGCCCCAGCTCCGACCACCTTGCCAATGTCGGGCCCGCCACCATGAAGAAGCTCAAGAAGAGCGCTGCGGGCAAGAGCATCGATCCTAGCCGGTATCTCTCTCCCCCTTCTCCCCTCTCTTCCCTGTCCTTCTTTCTCTCGTCTTGCAATGAACAGACGACTGCAAAGCAAGCGCACAAAAGACAAAGACAAGAAACAATGCTAACCCATGCCTCTTTTCTCTTCTTCTAGCGGCATCCTCAAGCTCCGCAACCAGCGTCCCAAGTACCAAATCACCCACCCTCCGGAAAGGTCGCCCAGCTCGAAAACGTCAAGCTCCGCCTCCACTACAACGTCCAGCCCTGGGTCGGCGCTCTCACCTGGAACCAGGAGCGCGTCTACGGCAAGTGGGAAGCCCTCAAGGGCGGCGTGAGCAAGGCTTTCAAATTCCCCTCTATCAAGAGCAAGCAGTAAATGGGGTAAGGAAGGCTTTATCTAAAAAGAATGAAACAAGAAAAAAGACAAGAAAAAAATGAAAGGGAGAGGGAGGAAACAAGACCTCGCCTGGTGGCCAGGCTTTTCCCCACCTAAAGGGTTTCCAGATGTTGGGCCACGGAAAGCTCAGGCGCGGGGTTGTCTTGCCTAGATGGGGGAGGGGACCGGCTTTTTAGGCTTCCAAGCATTCTAGAGAGTCCCAGACTTCGGTTTTAACAGATTGGGCTTGTTGGACATGTTATATTGCGGCGCATTCTCGGATACTTATACATCAACTATTCTTTTTCTCCGTTTCCACCTGCTTTTTGCTCCTGCAGAGTCTGCATACACCCCCAACTTCTCATAAAGGGCTGCACGCCGATTTGGATATTATGATGAAGTGAAGCACACTTGAACATATCACCTTGTCCCCTGCCTTTCTAAAATAAGCACACATTAATGTAGAAACATTCATAAGTCATGGAGCCAGGATCTGTGGAAGGCAAAGAAGAAGAAAAATGATATTCATGCCCTAGCCGTTCGCCCCAATTCTTTTCTTTTCTCTATTCCTTCATGAGCCAAAAGATGGAAACAAGCTGCTTGGTTTCCTGTTTTCCATGCAGGAAGACTGGGTTTACATGGCTTGGAAACCCTGTACATGTACACATTGAATGCCTAGCTCCAATTCCAAGTCTAATCCACAAGTAGATAAAGAAGAACAAGAAAAAGACAAAGACATCCTTTTCCATTGAACAACCCCGACTGAGAAGCGCCAAGCTGGAAGAAAAGATGATCGAGGGGTCATGGAGCCGAGGCGTAGAAACAAAAAAAAGCCACAAACAGAAAAGAGCAACGACGGTTGTGAGCGGGGGTTTGCGGTCTGCAAGGTCAAAGATGCGCGAGGTATCTCCCTCCGCGATGTTCATCTAAGACGGCGGGGCGGCGGGGATCCGTTGGGCGCTCCACCGCGACCGCGGTTGCCACCTCCTCGGCCTCGGGGCGCACCTCGCCCACGCCCGCCCCTACCTCTCCCACGACCGCTATTGGAGGAATCTAGGCTTTGCGGTGGGGGAACCGCGCTGTACTGGCCTTGGCCTTGGCCCTGGCTCTGCTGCTGCGTCTGCGCAGGCGCGGAGGACTCGACACCAGAGGTGGGGCCGGCGTGGCCACCACGTCCCCGTCCCCGGCCGCCCCTACCGTTGCTGGTAGGGCCAGGCCCTTGGTCACCGTGGCGGGCCCCGGCATTGGGGTGAGGACGATGGGCGAGGTTGGCCACCACACCAGGTTGCCCTCCGCGGTTTCCGCGTCCTTGTCCATTTCCTCTCCCCGTCCATTGACAGCTCCGCTCCAGCCTCCCCGGAGAGCCGGAGGGGGGCGCGTCCCTGTACTGGGGCATACCCGTTGTGTCATACGAACTAGTGGTCAAGGTGGAGACGGGCCTAACTGGATTCCTTCCGAGGGCCGCCTTTGATCCTGCCACTACCTGCTTATTCGTTGTGTTGAGCACTGTGGACGCCGGCACCGTTTGGCCTCGGAACGGTGGGGTCCGGTCGCCAAGCGTGTTTCCACTCATAAACGCCTGATCCCAAACCACATCGAGGAGCAATGCCGTGGCGGTACGCGAGATACCCACCACCGTGCCGCGAACGCTAAGAGGGACCTTGCCAGCAGCCGAAACATACGTGACGCGGTCGCCAAGGGTAAACGCCTGGTTGCCCAGGAGGAGCTCCGTGTCAGAAGGCTTGAGAATGGCGGATCGAGGGACCCCTTCATCGTCTTGCCGGCTGGCTCATTGTTGAGGAGCAACGCCTTCTCTCCAGCCTCCGCAAGCTTCATCACGACATCTGAGTCGAGCTGCTCCGCCTCCAAAGGCACACGTTCGAGCTTGTTAATTCCCTGCTGCTTCAACCAGGCGCCAATTTCCTTGATCCGGGCTCCTGCGACCTTTGGGTCTGGCCAAAGATCCGTGTCTGCCACGTCGCTCTTCACGGCAACCTTGTGCATGGCGGCGAAAAAGTCGGGGAACGTGACCATGAAGCTCGCAATCAGCTGGATGGCCGTGCTGCTAAACTCCCAACCGGACTGGGACTTTTGCGAGTATCCCAGCACCTTTTGGCCCTTGGCGGCGAATTTGAGGTTTAGACCTAGGTTGACTCTCAAACCTCCCACGGCATTGACTTGGTAGGACGACGTAATCTTGCTGAGCACCAAAGCGTCGATTCCTAGCTTCTTGGCCACCGCAAACGATGGAACGTAGCGGTTGTTGCGGAGCGCGTCGTGAATGATGGTCTTGGAGAAGTCGGGCTCCTTATGTTTCAAAACGGAAAGCTTGATTTCCGCCTTGTTGTTCGAGTGGCCCGTGACAATGAGGGGCCTGCCGTAGTTGAAGTCGCCGAGGAAGAAGGCCTGCGTGTTCACTGGGTACTCCTCCTCGATGGGAACGGCCGCTTTCTCGATGAAGCGCTCATCCTCGTTCACAACCTCATCAACGACGGTTTGCGCAGCATAGGTGCTACGCAGACTGGGGTTCTCGCCATATTCTTTGATGAGCGCCCCGGCTTCCGTCTTCGTGAGGCCCTTGAGCATGTGCACGTGGATGAGGGCCTCCACGGTGCCAATGGTGATGCCAAGCCGACGAGCGTGCCAGTTTTCAATATAGTTGGCCTCTTTGGGGAAATCGTTCAGCTCCTTGCCGGTCAAGGGCGTTTGGGAGAGTCGTCCGTTGCCATCAAGCTCATAGTTGAAATGGGAGTCAGACACCTTGATGACTTTGGCCTCCTGGAGGAAAGGATAGCCAACAAAGCATCGCTGCCCGAGCTTCTTGATGGCCTGTTCCGGCTGCGACCTAGCATCTGAGTCGGTGAGGGTGACAATCATGCTGGGGTTTCGGCTCTCCGACTGGAAGACATTGACGCCGTAGCCCTCGACGAGGACACCCTCGTACGGAAGGGTGTGGAGCGTTGGGAATCCTGCAAGCGCCTCGACGTTTAGCTTGGCACCTTTAACAAGTCCGACCTTGTACTCTAGGCCTTGGGTATCGGGAAGCTCAAAGATGTTTTCGACGCAATGGCAGTTGGGCAAATCGGGAAAGACGCCCACAAGGGATGACGGGTAGACAAAGTCAACGTCTGCCGAGTACGTGAACTTGAGGGAGACACCAAACTGGTTTCTCGCGTCTTCATCGGCAGACAGAAGCTTGTTTTTGGGCCCCATGGCGCTCAGCAGCCTCTTTTCATCAATGAAGGGAATTTTCACAACGGCTTCCCAATCCATCTTCTTGCCGTTCATGTCCAACTCGAAATCTCGCGGGTAAAAGTCATAGATGGGCGACTTGGGGTCAGTCATCAGCTCCCAATAGACGGTAGGGACGATGCTCTTGCTGCGATCGGGAAGCACACCCATGAGCTGCTCGTAGGGCCTGAAAGGCTCGCCCTTCTTGAAGTTTAGGTCGGCACCGAGACCCTTGACGACATCTATAAAAGCACAATGAGTAAGTTTATGGGGGAGAGGAGGATGGGAGGAACCACCGCAAGGTTAAGAATAGATTTCAGCTTACCTGACATGAGGGGAGAGTAGTGGTAGGCGTAGAACCAAGGCCACGAGGCGATTCCACGATAGTAGTAGTACAGCACCCACTGTAACCCCTGAACGTAGTTTTCGCACAGCTTAATGAGCTCGGCGTCGTAGGACTCCAAAGGCCACTCGAACTTTTGAAGATAGTACTTGGACTTCCAGCCCTGATACTTCTCCTGATAGACCTTGTCATAGCCAGCCTGAGCTTGCTCCGACGAGATATCCACAACCAATGCCCGGTCGTACTGCTTGACTACACGGAAGACGGCCATATTCGCTTCCTCATCGTCGTCATCGTCGTCATCGTCCTCCTGGCCCTGCGCACCCTCCGGCTTAGGAGGGAACTGCATCACAAGGTTTCGGTTTCCGTTTTCGTCCTCCTCAGTAGACCAGGGCAGTCGCAACGTGTCAGCCAACGTCTTGACAAACTCGCGGTCCTCGGCCTTGAGGCCCGGGCCAAAATTCAGTGGCTTCGAGTCTCGGTTGGTGATAAAGGGCTTGATCTTCTTCTTCCAAAGATCTCGTTGGACCGACGTGAGGACGAGCTGGCCTTTGGGCGTCTTTTTAACCGAACCAAGATGGCCCAGGTTGTCGTCGATCTGCTTCGACTGGAACCATTTCTCGTTTGCCACGTCTCCCTCAAAGTGGTCAAACTCGACCTGCGACAGATTGTTCAAGAGCAACTCGAGACGCTTCAGGTTGATAACACCGAGCTCGTTGATGTAGCCTTCGCACTGAGGCAGAACCTTTTTGTATATCCGGAACATATAGGCAAGAGCGCCTTCGTTAATATGGAGCCAGGGGAGATTGGGCAGGAAATCGTTTCCGACAAAGAAGGCCATGAGGATGAAGTCGTCGATGACGCGCTCGAGGTCAAGGGAACCCAAGGGTCCCGGGTGCCTTGAGATCCTGAAACTCTAGCTCCAGGTACTCTCTGACAATGCAGAGGTGGAGCAGATAGAAATTTTGGTGCTCCAGCTCCTTGGACTTGGATTTGGAAGCGCGTCCAAAGGTGACCTCTTCTCGAAGGAGACAAAAATGCGGGTCGTGGCTAAGCAGACCCAACATGATGAGATCCGCGTCCAATCCGTATAAGCAATGACGAATATCGGGGCTGTAATCGTGTTGAGCTTTTGCGTTCCTGATGTATTCCATAATCTTGTGCTCTCCTTCACCAGGCACTTCATGACCCGACAGGACAACCTCGCAGCCCTGCCAGTCCGAGTCTTCTGAGACCTTTTTGGCGATGAAGTATCTCAGCTGCTGGGTCAGCTTCGCCATAAACTCGGTTCCTATACTCTTTGTTAGAGAGGCCCTCGTCAACGAGAGGAGGGGATCATGAGGAGTGGGGAGAGGGAACCATACCTGGAGTGATACAGTTGCTGTCGAAAGGGGGCTCCTTAGGGAGCTCGACGCCTTCGGCAATGGCCTTGTCACGGGCCTTTTCATTGTCAAGCGCAGTCCTGAATCGGCGAGCGCGCTGCTGGTTCATCTTTGCGCGGGGAGCCACGCCATCGATGGCCATGTAAAAGAGTTGCTTGGGCTTGATCTTGCCAAACAGGTGTTCGATGTAGTTGAAAATACGGATGAACATCTCCTCCTCACTCAGACGGAAAGAGACATCTTCTCCAGCGTCTTTATGGGTACAGTTATGGATGATGCCATTCATATCAAGCTATTGTTCACCACGAGGTCAGCGACAAGCGCGAGAGGGGAAGAGACGTTCGTCTCAGATGTGTGACGACCGGTGTCGGCCGGACGAGCGCATACGTAAAGGCAGTCGAATTCGGGGATTCGGTTCTCGGCAATGAGCTGGGAGATTCCTGGATATCGCTCCGATATCCATCGGAAGAATTTGGGGACACTGGAGACAGCTTTGGGTTAGCAGAGTGCTCAGCGGCAACGGCAGCTAGGGTCTCGGCGCAGTCAGGCGGGAACCATACCCCATGGTGGATTACGGCAACAAGAAAACGGGTATCTCGAATAGTATGACGAAGAAAGAGATTTCTAGGAAAAGATGTCAGCTGTGGGCCTCTACACCGTTGCGCAGTTCGACACGACGGCGGTGATTGAGGGACTGGTAACGAACCTCGGCGCAGGGTATGTGGCGTGTAGGGTAGAGAGCTGAAAAGGAAAAGAAAATAATTCCTCGCAGATCGTAAACAAAAAGAGTCGAAAAAATCTCTAATTGAAAAGTCCCATCTAGGGTGCAGGAAAAGAAAGCTTCCGGCAGCAGCAAACAAAACAAGTAGATCAAAAAGTAGAAGCGAGTAGAGATTACTCTAGTGACAGCTGCAAGCGCATACGTCGGGTTCTTGGAGGAGAATGAGGTAGGGAGCAAACTGAGGATGCGACGCAAAATGCTGCAATAAAAGGGAAGAGAGGTGATGATGCTTCGTGATCGGGAGGCCGGCGGGGTGAGTCAACCGGGGAGGTACTCGGGAAGGCAAATCGAGGCTTGGATCTTTGGAGATGTTGGGGGAGGGCGCCGAGCAGCAAGCAGCGTGGGGCAAACGGAAGGTGTGGTCGAGGCAGTGGATTTCCAGGGCAGAAGGTAATGTGGGGTGTGTGGGCGGGTGTGGGTGCCTGGGCGAGGCCAATGGGTGAGGCCGCTGGGCCTGCCCATGGTTGCTGGGTAGAACGGAGCTCTCTTCTTGCATCACTTATTTGCACTGTGCCCGCCTCCATTTGTATACTTGCTCCTTCAGCCTAGCCTACGAGGAGAGCTTTTGAGGCGTTGATTCTTTTCCAAAGAGATAGATCTGCCCAGAATTGACGGATTAACGGAATCCATTCAATTTAAACATTATGTGCCGAGGCGGTCATCGATTGATTGAATCCTCTTGTGAATTTGGTCTCCCCTAAAATTACCCCTCCCCTCAAGCCGCAAAAACCCAAAGCCCCAAAGAGGGAAAAGCGCAGGGGATTTCGACATGTCGTTCCTCCGCGAGGCTTCGAGGCCTCTGGGCGTCTGGGCTTCTGGGCTTCTGGGCTTCTGGTACCCCACTAGAACAGAGCTGGTTGGCCAGCCTGACTAAGCCTGTGGCTCAAGTCTTGAGGCGCTCCTTCCACTTAACGCGTCTCGAGGAAGCTCCCACACAAACCGACCGCGACTGGCCAAAGCGCATTTGCCAACCTCCATCCATTGAATTGAAGCTATTTTCATTCTTCCTCACCCCTCCTCCCACACCCAAACGCACACGCGAGACCTGCATTTTCGCAATTCTCCACCACATCTCGCCAATCCTGCTTGACGCAGTTTTCTCCTTGGCCTCCCTCCCTTAAAGTCGCCCATTATGGCACCCGAACCTGTGGATGGTAAGGCTCGCGCCCCTTGCGCACCCGTTTGCTCGGCTGCGACGCGCGCACCACTTGCATGCAAATCCAAACAGCTCTTCAAGAAACCGGGACGATCACCGTCTTTTGTGATTCGGGGGCACTCGTTGGGGAGCACCGTAATTGGGATTTTGAACCACAGACTAACCCATTCTGGTCCCCGTAGATGTACCGATGTACGATGAGGATGACAACGAAAATGAGGAGCACAGGCTCATCAACGAGGGTTCGTCGCGATCACCCACTCTCCTCCTCTAAAGGAGTCGTCTCGTTCTTGTGGCCGTCCGTGTGCTGACGCCTAGGGAATTGTGAAGAATATAAAACATGGAAGAAGAACACGCCCTTCCTCTATGACATGATTCTGAGGTGAGCCCCTCGGACCTTGCTTGCCGCAACTCCAACCCCCAGCTAACTTCAAATCAAAGCACTGCCCTTGAGTGGCCTACTCTCACCACTCAGTGGTTCCCAGACGTCAAAGAGCCTGCAGACAAGAATGTCCGTATCCACCGCCTGCTCATCGGCACCCACACCTCAGATGACAAGCCCAACTACGTACAAATTGCCGAGGTGGAAATTCCCAAGACTTCGGAGCCCAATGCTCAGGACTTCGATGAGGACAGAGGCGAGGTCGGCGGTTATGGAAAGGCTGGTGATGTAGCGAAAATCAAGTTCAACATTACTCAGAAGATTGACCATCCCGGCGAAGTCAACAAGGCCAGATATCAGCCCCAGAATCCCGACATCCTTGCGACAATGTGTATCGACGGAAAGATTCTCATCTTTGACCGCACCAAGCACTCGAGCCAGCCTCAAGGCAAGGTAAACCCTCAGATTGAGCTTCACGGGCATAAGAAGGAAGGTTTCGGTCTTAGCTGGAACCCTCACGAGGCCGGAAAGCTCGCGTCTGGAAGTGAAGACCAGACTGTATGCCTTTGGTAAGTTACTTTTTCCTCTCTCCTTGAGGCCGGGCGTGCCATTTTCGTTGAGGAAACAAGAAGGGAGAGCTTGCTTGCTTGCTGGCTTTGCATCCTGCTTGGACTCATGCTGACGATATTCTCAGGGATCTACAAACCGTGCAAGCAAACAACCACATCTTGAAACCCGCCCGCAGGTACACCCACCACAGCCATGTCGTCAACGACGTGCAGTACCATCCCTTCAACAAGAATTTTATCGGCACCGTTTCGGATGACCTGACAATGAAAATCATTGATTCTCGCCGGGCAGAGACGGACAAGGCTGCCCTAACCGCTAGAGGTGGCCACTCAGATGCCATTAACGCTCTCGGCTTCAGCCCAACCAGCGAATACCTCTTTGCCACCGCATCAGGCGACAAGACTATCGGCGTCTGGGATATCCGAAACGTCAAGGAGAAGGTACACACCCTTGAGGGACACAACGACGCCGTAACCTCGCTCTCTTGGCACCCTACAGAGCCCGGTGTTTTGGGATCGGGTAGCTACGATCGCCGCATCATCTTTTGGGACCTAACCAAGGTTGGCGACGAGCAACTACCTGACGACCAGGAGGATGGACCCCCGAGTTGTAAGTTCATGGCCGAATATGGCTCGGCACGCCCACAACCGTACCAGAAACACCTTTCGCGTATTCTGTAGCTAACAGGTCATGTCTCGCAGGCTTTTCATGCACGGAGGACACACCAACCACCTTGCTGATTTTACGTGGAATCCCAATGACCCTTGGCTCATCTGCAGTGCCGCCGAAGACAACTTGCTTCAGATCTGGAAGGTTGCAGACTCCATCATCCAAGTGAACGACCCCGATCTTCCCATTGAGGAGCTCCAATCATGAAGTGTAAAATATATCAAAAGACGTGACGATAAAGAGGCGCAGAACTGGCGCGGTGGCACGGGGCTTTTGGTTGGTACAGGCAGGCTAGGTTTTGTTGGATTGAGTGGACTAGGATACACGCCCATCATCAGTCAATATGATGTGTACGGTTTCCTTGCTGTTGAGGGGGATAGTATAGGTGCAAGAAAGATATTTGGGAGTCGGTTGGCCATGGTTCTTAGCAAGAGATGTTTTTTATTCCCTCTTTGTTCTTTTCACCCTCTGCAATACCCAGCTACTTCTCTACATGTTGTAGAGGCAATTCATAATGGAAGAGGAAAGGTACATTTGACTCTGGATCAAAGAACTCTGTATGCTATCTATGAATCCCCACATAGAAGCTAGTACCTAGATTCCCCCTTTCATCTTCCCGGCCACTCTCAAACACCTTTACACCCTATAGGAACTTGAAAGTGCTGATCATCTCATGAAGACTCCCTAGCTCAATAAAAAAGGTGGCACAAGAGAGGAAAAGAAGAAGAAAGGGAATGTTGATAGATATGAAGAAGGAATGGCTAAAAATGAAAGTGAAGGAGAGAAAAATCGTGGCAATTGTATGAAGAAAATAGAAATGGCAAACAAAAAAGAAGAAGAAAAAAACATACAACACCGGGGATTCGCTGGTCGTCACCGACCCAACTACTAGTCCGGCGCTTCGCAGCTTGTGTACAGGGGAGCGGACGGGACCCTCAATATTCTACGAGCTATGGTCGTATGTACCAATCCACCAAGCGAAACCACGCTATAAGGCCTCCGCACTTTTCCCGGGCGCGCCACACGAGGGGTTCTGCCCTGCTGCAAACGGAGCAAGTGGATCAACGAGGCGGATACGTTTGTCGAGCTGAGTCAATGTGAGGCGTGACTTCCGTCTGGTGATGGGCAATAGATCGGCAAACTGCCTCTGGGCAGAGAGAACCCTGAGGTTTGCCACCAAGAGACCCTTTAGCACCGCTTTAGCATCACCACATTTACATAAGAAGCACTGTGGTGTTTGAAAACTGGAGGGGACAAGCATCAATGATCAATCTTGACGGGCGAGCACCAAAGGCGAAGGGCACGAAGTCACGGAAAAGAAAAGCAAATGGGCTTGTTTTTACATGATTTAAACGTCCCGCAAAGCAGAAGTTAAAATCGAGAAAGAGTAAAGGTAATAAGATGACTTGAAAAAGGAGGGGAAAAAAAGAGAAGGTTAGAAGAATCCATCCTTGCCGATCCAAACCACCAACGACCAACGACACAAGCAACGACACAAGCAACGCGCCAGCCACGCTATACCAGGATCCTGTACACAGAGACACGACACTCCCTTTTGGTTTTCGCTATGCACCCTACACCTACACCCTGCACCTGCCAGCCCTTTTGCCATTGAAATTCAAATCGCAAAAACAACCGTACCTTACCCTACCATGCCTTGCCTGGTTTTTAGAGAAGAAGAAGAAGAGCGAGAGAGAAAAGAGAAACAAGAAGGGAAGAAAGAAAAAGAGATGACGAAGAGGAAACCTTGCAAAAAGAAAAGATCCATCTGTCAAGAAATAAACAGAAAAAGAAAAAGAAACAGGGGCAAGTCCGAATAACATTTTCTAGCAGGGAAAACCAAGAGCAAGAAGAGAAGAAGAAAGATTGAAAACACCTGTGAACCCCTTCCCCTGTGCCTCCTGTAATCCTCCTATTTTCCCTTCCTAAAGCCTGACTTCCCTAGCCCTTCAATTCCCCCTTTGTTTCCTGAACGAGACCGTAGCCACCAAAGGCTAAAGCAACAAGCAACTCCGGAGCTCCGCCGTTGGTTTCCAGGTATCGTGAACCATGTTTTAATGCTCTGCTTTTGAACCCTCCCCTGATTTTGCTGCTATTTCCTTGTATGTTTTATCTTCCAGCCAATTTCACACAGTCCTTGTTCCGAATAACACAGGTGCTTGCCAAGCTATGTGTCCAAGCAGGGACATCCTCCCCACTCGCAATCAAAAGAAAAATGAAGTAAAAATGAGATCAAATGAGAAAAGGACAAAGACAGGCGAATCAAGCAGAATAGACGAGAGAAAGTTGAAAAAGGTGCAACGGGGATACGACAAAAGTGTGATAAGAGAAGAAACAATCACGTAGGAAGAAAAGGGAAAAGGGAAAAAAATAGGGGGAGGGAGGGGAGGTTGATGGAAAACGAGATTAGAAACGACACAGCCTCATCGCTGTATTCTTCTCCAGCCAAAGGAGCAGAGCGCAAGAGGCCATGTCATGAAAGAACGTTGCTTATGATCAGCCAGGCTCCAAATGCTCTAATGCTCTTCGTTCCAAAAGAAAAATCAATCTGAGAGTCGAAAGTAGTGACAAGGGTGATCGTGATGGAAACGACACATGGTGAGCAAGCACCCTCTTCCGTGTCATCGGTAAGATGGCGGTACGCAAAGTGAGGCATAATAGCGATCGGGTAACAAGCAGAACGTGGTTCGAGCACGTCCATGGTACGCTCTCACACTTTAGCGAAAGGCCTGCCAGATTAGGCGGGGACTTGCTGGGAGCAGCACCACCGTTCTGGCGGCCCTCATTGTTGCTGACCGAAAGGCCGCCCATGCCAGACGAAAGGAAGGAGAAAGGATCGTTCTCGTTCTGGTTGTAAAAGTTGTTGGACGGGCCGGCCGACGCAGGGCCGTTGGTGGCAGACTGGAAAGCAGCTTCCGCGGCACGGCTGTCAAAAGGGCCGGCAGAATGGGAGCCGGGGCTGGGGCCAAAGTGGGTGTTCAGCGAAGGGTACGAGGTCGCGCCCCGCCGATGCCCGAAGGAAGAGCGTAGGTGCTAGGGGGCCGCCAAAGTGCTGACCGCCGTAGTTACCGCCGGACGCGAAGCTCCCGGCGGGAGATGCAAAGGCCCGTGGCCATGGCCACTGCCCATAGAATTTTGGCTCATGGGATAGTTTGAGCCGCCATCCATGGGCGAAGGATAGCCCGAGTCCGCCACAACGGCGGCACCAGCTCGGCTAGCACCGCAGCGAAGACAGCACACATTCTTGGCAAAGTTATGGTAGCCGCAAACCTCGTTACCGCACTTCCAGTCACCGGCACGGAAGGGGACAACACCGCTGCCACCCATCCGCCCACCACCATGACCGTGGCCACCCATGGGGCCGTGGTGGCCCATGTGCTGAGGAGGGGCATCATGGCCGGGGGCCATAGCCACCACCACCACCACCACCGCCGCCGCCACTGTTGTATCCGTAACCGGCATCCCCAGAGGGCCCGGCGGGGAACGAGCATCGGAAACAGGCAGTCCGGCGCTGAAAGTTGGAGAAGCCGCAGGACGGGCAAGTCCAATCACCAGGTCGGGGTCGGTTCTTGCTGGGAGGGAATGGGGTGAGAATCTCAGCGGCGCGGTCCAGGACACGACTGGAAGAGGGCGAAACCTCGATGGCTTTCTCGTTAAGGGCACGGCCGTTCATGCAGAGGCTCTCGGCAGCCTAGTCAAGGACGAGATGTCAGCATCAATAATCAAGCGTTCAAGAAAGGACAAGGGCTCAAAATCCATCTCAGCCCCACCCATTAGACCAGAGAGCCAAGACGGCCCGCAGCAAATTAAAACCCCTAATCAGTGTGGGAGAGAGAAGGGGGAGGGAACTTTTGAGGGAAAAAGCAAAATGGTTGCAGCGATGTTGGAACGGACAGGAAAGGGGCGTACCTCTTCGTGAGACGAAAAGACGGCAAAGCCGGTGCCAGTGGGCTTGTGCTGCTCCGGAGTACGCAAGGTCCAGAAGGCGATCGGTCGTCCGCCAAACTGGGTGAACCAGCTCTCAAGCTCCGACTGAGTGGTATCATGAGGCAGGCCAGACATATGCAAGACCTTGCTACGCTCGGAGAGGAAAGCCCTCACGTCGGCTCTAGCGTCCATGGGGCGGGTGAGCACGTCAGGGTGCTCATGAGGCGGCTGTGACTTGCGAATCAAGCCACGGAGGACACGGGCAAGCGTGACGGCCTCCTCCATGGCGCGTCGAGGCGAGGCCGGAGCCAAGGCTTGCAGGTGGAAGGGGAGGTTGTGCTTGATAGGTGCGCTAGACTGGACGGGCTCGACCTCGAGGGCGGCGCAGATGTTGCTGAGCATCGAAGGGCCGAAGGGGAGTGATTCAGGGTGATGTTGCTGCCACCTCTGGTACTCGGTGCGAAGATCGAATGTACGTGAGTGCTGGAGATAGGGTGGCAAGACAACGGCCTTGTCCCGAGCCTCGCGAGGGAGCTGGACACGAAGATCCCACGAGTCAAGGGTGACGAAGACGAAGTCAAAGTTTTGGGAGGTAAGGTGCTCATTGGCAAACGCATCAAAACGGTTAATCGCATCCCTAAAAGTGCCGGCATTTCGTACATGTTCCCAGGTCAAGGTCGTTAGGCTCGCTGCCGGGACACACCTGGTTAGCCGAATCCAATTGCGAAGAAAAACCAGCAACTATCCATCCCGAGCGGTCGAGGTGCGTCACAAACGCGGAAAACGCCCAGTTCCGCCATTCATATGCGCACACTACGTCGTGCCAGCGGGCGTAGTCGACTCATCGATGCGTGCACAGGAGAAAAGACGGACGAAGGGAAGAAAAAGGAAGGGGCTAGAGGGTAGTCTACTTACTGCAGAGGGGGTGATGGGGGTGTTGATGGGCTTAACAAGAACACTATCGCGAGCAACCTAAAGGGAAGTCACGGTGGGTCAGTATGATGAAACTCGATACAGAGACTCGAGTGGACTAGATGAGGCCATGATAAGGATGGGTGTGATGGCGGATGTGGTGTACCAACCTCTTCGAGGGACTTGGCATCGAGCAAGATCCATCCGAGCTCGATTACCTCGGCCGAGTCCTTTGTAACATAGACACCGTGCTCATCACAGGTGGTGGCCACATGGATCACCACGTAGCGATCGATATTCAGTTGGGGAGCTGGCTGGTTCGACATGGTGAATATGTACAGCTAATCGAAAACACCAAGTCGAGATGCAGGACGGATGCTTCGTAGAGCTCTGTTTAAAGGGATGGGCCGTCGAAGAAGGCCAACGCTCCGAAATCGCGAGGATCGCCGTGGTGGTGGGTGGGAGAGTTGCACGAGTCGCGAGGGATTATCGAGAAATCGGAATTTTCGAAGGGCTCGAAATTCGAGGCGGAGGGCAATGGGGAAGAAAAGATTGCGTAAAACAAAATAAGGACGAACGGCTAGAGATGCGGAGAGCAAAGGGTGAGGAGATGTATCACGATCTGGGCAATGACCAGGCCCAAAAGAGATTTTTCAGGTCCTGTCTTCGACTTGCTTGATGAGGGAGGGAGGGACAGGATAGAAGCTGGTCGGTCCCTGGCTGGAAGATGGATCCAGGAAAAGTCAAAGGGACTGGATGAGTTCGGGTGCGGGTTTGGGGAGGGAGAGGGTGGAAAAAGGACGAAAATAGGTGTCCAAGAGCTTTCAAGTCTGAAGATTGAAAAAGGGACCCGAAATTTCGAACAAGACTAGGATCTATTCAATTGGCACGCGGTACAAGCCTGGGCGACACGCCAGTGGGGCGATTTCAGAGGGGGTTGAGGGAAGGCCAGCCAGCGGTTGGAGAGCAGGAGGGCCGGCCAAAAAGGAGCATGGAGGATAAAACCACCACTCCACGTAGTAAACTCCCGAGGCCAAGAGCGAGCAACGCAACGCATGCAATTGAAATTTACGACACAACTAGTAGACGATAAAAACACGCCGTGTCTTCAAGATCAGAGACTTGCCTTCATTTTCCCCTTCATCTTCCCCTATCAAATGCCCAAACCCCCGCCCAGCGTCTCCAGGTCGATCTTGAGGCAGCTGATGGAGATGGAAATGATGGGAAGGAACGACCTACTCAACGGAGAACGTTGCTGGTCAATACGTCAAAGGACAGGCTTGTTGCAAGGTACTTTGGACAAGCCATTGTAATACAATTGATCTGTCAAGCGAGGTGTACACTACACTGCCAAGTATCGACCCCTTAGTGGAGTAAGCCCTCGACACATGGGGTGTTCTCTCATGGGTGTGGAGTTGAGGGGGGCGGAAAGGAGCACCTATTAGGTCACCGTCTAGACCATGTACCTGGAGAGTGGAGCTGCAACTTGCCAACAACTACCTGCAACGTACTTGGAGCTCCTCTGAGAGCAAACCGGTCCCTTCCTGTCTTCGTAGCCTCCATATGTGGTGAGAAAAGAGGTGTCCCATCCATCCAATCGCCATGGAGTGCACACCTCGTCAGAATGAGGCAGGAGCAGATTGCTCAAAAACGCCCCGGCGTTTTCTTCCCTATCCCTCCAGTTTCCTCCAGTTCTGCCTCAGGTCGGCAAGACTGACTCGTCGAGGACCCTGTTTTCCCAATTCCAGGATTCGTAAGCTGTCTCCGTGCCTAGGGAGAGAGACCTGAGCACCGAAATGCGAGGCAAAAGTCTAATCCCGAGCGTCCCTCCTTCGGGGAGCTACCTACACACCATCCCGGCAGCCCGTGCCTTAGCTGTCCAGAAGCAGTTTCAACCAGTCGGGGAATGGAAGAGGGGAGAAAGAAAAAGGAAAAGGGAGCTGAGGGCTCTTCCGTACCTGTCTGTCCCATAAGCTAGCTGCCTCCCACAGGCTGTGGGAAGCTTGAAGAGACATGGTTCTATGGGTGACCAGGGGCACGTAGCGTTGCCGTGGATTCGCCTGCGCGGGCAGTTGAAACCGCCTGAGCTGGGCTAATTAGTGAGAGCATCCGACGGGCCCGGATCCACTACGAGATGGCCTGGACGGATCCATCCATCCAGGATGGATCGATGGATGGATAAACCCGGGTAGACTGCCTTAGCGGGATCACGCAAAACAAGAAAGGCGGACACAATGCCGAGGAGGGAAAAAAAGGAAGAAGAGGGAAAGGAAAAAGGAAGAAGCACGATGGACGGGAAAGAAAAAGGTAACGAGAGTCAAGGGGAGGAATGATGGATGCATGAAAGTTTACAGTGATCTCGAAACTGACCCAAAGTGAATGCATCCATAGCCAGCGGATACTGCTACAGTGTCGGTACTCGAGCACATCAATTGACACCGTTAAGGTGAGATACACTCCACTAGTAGCTTAGTGCTAGGATCAGAATCAACAAAACCTTTTGTCTCAGCGTTCCAAGTCAACAGGGGCGGAAGCGTGACCGGCTGTGCGGATACTGGCGAGAAATATTGGGAACACGACCCCTAGAATCCATGATCCCGAGACTTCTTTTAAGCTTTGAGGTACAAGTTCGAGCTGAGATATTGGGAAGCTCTGCCTGCTTCATCGTTCTGACACTAGAGATCGAGATCTTTATACCTTTCCACCTCCACTACCATCCAATAACTTGGCCCGTTGCGAAGGAAGGAGATCAAGTGTGTAGGTTTTGCATTTTTGTTATTATTTCACAAGTCTTCTCAATGGCAGTAGATCAAGGAGCCATCAATGATCCTCCACTCCACTACCGACACTATTGTAATAGTTGACAGGGCCTTTCGATATTGTGTAGAGGACCACCGTTGCTGTGCGGCGGTTTGCGCAAATAGACGCCACACGATTGATTGCCTGTTGATTCCCAAGTTACGGGCTAACGGGGTATTATGAGCAGCACCCCAAACGGTTGATTGACCATCCTGTATGCTTCCGCTTGGTGTCTCTTCCCCTGCACAGTACAGGCCGAGGAAGCCATCTTATCATCCCCGGTCTCGGTTTTTAATAAAGAAGCCTCGCCCCAACGCGAGGGCCTGTTCCTGTTGGGCCGTCTGCCTGGTTCCACATCATCTTTGGGGGTTCGCAGCAAGGAACAATCATTGCCAAACAGGCCCCCTGAAGAAGCGTCCGCTCATGTTACCCGCAAATCCTTTGGCGTGGGTTTGCTCCCTCCTCACCTTTGATGTATCTCGACGTATTGCCTGCGGGAAAATCTGTTGTGGCGCTGGGACCATTCCTCATACGAAGGTGAATAATACTTTGTAATAACCTCAAGATTGCTGGGTGGCCCTTGGTTCAACATGAATGAGTCTTGACACAAAAGAAAAGAAAAGAAATGGGGGTTCTCACCACCAATGCCTCACGCCTCACAGGCAGGAAGAAAAAAAGAAAGAAAGAGGAAAAACAAGTCACAGGTGGTTCGACCAAACTAGGTTCGACCTGCGAGCCGTATCTCCCTGGCCCAGTCCTCGGGACCCTGTCCATACTTCCAAAGTATGTGCAGGCAGAGGAGGTTCTTGAGCTTGTCCTCCCGACGTGCCGCTGGACAGGAGGACGTCTCTCATGCAGAGCGCTTGCGGCAGTCCATGCAGAGCTGTGCACATTGGGCAAGTGAGGACCTCTGCCTGCGCCAGCGGTACGAGCCCATCCCGAGACGTTGAACTGAAAGTGACCTTGGGTGCAGAGACAGGTGTGCACGTTTTGCGGGTGCCCGTGGGACGGGTCAAATACCGGCTGGTCTTGAAGCAAATCCGGCCATTCAGCCCAGTCCTGATTCAAACGACACGGTTCGGCATGGTTGGCAGGGCACAGGTTCCCCCTTTTTTTCCAACCAAAAACTCCCCCTTTCCCATCAATGGTGATAATAATATGGAGATATACGAACAGACTTCATAGCAACCCAAGGGCCAACAGGCAAGCCTAGCGACAGGCTCAAGCAAGGGTTCGGGGATAGCCAAGGCCAGTCGGCCGTCTCGCCCAGAAAGGGCGCAAGTGATAAGAAACCGCCCCAGACCGTCCCAGCCGGTAATATAAAGGAGTGTTCGAGATGGTCATCTTGGTCACCATTGACTCGGTTTCGCCGGAGAACCCCTGTCAATCCCAAGCTTCTCGAAAGATAAAGTTCCTGCTATATACCGCGCCCCGAGAGATGACAACCCCAATAATAATACGGGCGAAGGTGTGTATAGTACCAAAGTAGTCGGATCAAGTTCGCTTCTCGCTTCTCGTCTCGGATCCTTCAATTTCAGACGACGGCGACCCGTTCCGTTGCCGCTATCATATTATTCCCTTGAGAAAGAGTCGTAATCGCAGCCAAGGCGGGGGAGAGCTTGTTCTTATCTCGTCCAAACGATGGGCCGAACGGACGAGGTGTCCGTTAAAGAAAACACCATCCGTTAGCTATACCGAGGCAGCCAAGGCCCTCTGTTTGACGACGTTCTCTCCACAGTGCAAGTAGTCCAAGGACGTTTGGCCTTGGCCATCGATATAATTCTTGGGAACTTGGAATCGAGGGACTTGGATGTTATGACTAAGCCATCCTCTTTCTTTTCAACGGCTCGACTTCCCAGATTCGAGAAGATGAGATGAGGAGTGTCTGGGCATGTTTTCCTAGTCCGGCGAGGCCTCTCCGACATCAATGTAAGGGAGAGGCTACGTTTGTGTTGCCTTGGAGGGCCTGGACGGCCTCCTTTGAACTTATCCCCAACCTGCGAGATGCAGGAGATGGACGTCAGAAGGTGCACGTTCTCGTGTTTCGTCACGCCCGCGGGCATCAATCAGGACCTTTTCCCTTCAAGGAACCTCGGACCTCAGTCACTGCGCAGTCATTTTTAAGTGATAGATCGATTCCCTCTCCAGCGCGTGACTCTTGCTTCTCCAACGCCTGGTCGAAGACGTCCTGGGATCCATAAGTCCCAGGATCGTGCCATACATGATACCGCTGGCGATTTCCCTGTGAGATCTGCCCTCCCCGGCCCCTACGAGGAGAAAAGCATTAAGAGCACTGAGCCTTCAGTGACAGTTGATCGACGGCCACTTCAAATCTTTTTTAACCGCGAGCGATCATGAAGGAGGGGTTGCAGCCAGCGCGAGCCGACGGCCAAAGCTCCTGCACGAGCTCTACTTGAATCACTTTACATGCATTGAACGTTCCACAATTGGACTCGCTCGGGACAATGCACGTACTGTGCTTTCTACACCCTCCCATCACATTTCCTGGTTAGTTGCCTGCCGGTGATTCTCTTTCTCGCCCTGCGGCGTGGATTAGATGTGTTCAGGACCTTTCTTTCCCTTCTTTTTTTCTTTTTTAGCCGATAGACTATAAATGAGGCCATTCATCGGGGAAATTAGTGAATGTCTCTACTACCCCCATACCCCTGCGGGCAAAGTCAGCTTGGGGAGGGGTTCTGAATCCCGAGGAGGGAAGCTCTTCATTGTTGATCTCGACGCCCCGTCTGCATCAATGGCACCCGTCAATCATGTGCCGGCGCCCGTAGCGGACGATGGAGTATCAGAGCGCCCGCGTAACAATCGTCGATCACGAACAGTAATGCGTATCAATCGCCGCCGCCTAGTTCTTGAAAGATTGGGGAAGGGATGGGTGGCGCGGGGTTAGGGAGGAGGGATCTTCCAGCACCACCAGCACCAGAGACTGAGACATGGTCGAGCCCGTCTCTATTTTGCCTCTCTTTCAAATATGTGCAGCTTTTAGGCCTTTATTTTTCCCGATCACATTGCTTCTTTGTGCTGCGTCCGAAAGGGGGTGCCTCCATGTGGTGGTGTGCAGACGCTGCACGGAGGTCGAGTTCACTGTTGTTGTGATCTGGTGCATATGCTCGGGCGGAGCGGGCCCCGCGCCGGTTCTCCTCCCCGCCACGCCACCTTGACCACCCCGTGCCCCAAAGGACTTGGGCGGACGCTGGGGAGCAGTGCAGTGATGGATGGATCAATAGATATTTCGGCGCGCGCTGACTGCAAGCGCCACCTCCCCTCAAAAGACGGGGTAACGTTTATGGTGACCGAAAAATAGCACGTCGACCTGAGCGTTAACTTGGGGCAAGCGCCTGGCAAGGCCAGTGCTAGCCGCCAGTCGCAGAAGTCAAGAACGATTGGCATTGATGGTGGATCCTCAGCGTATTATTTTTGGTGGGGTTTCCTTTTATCTTCTCTTCGGCCTTATCTTCGCCGGCGAACAACCAGCATCGAACAGCACTTGAGATATTTCATTCTGGATCCATTCATTTATTCATTTATCATCAAAAGTGAAGGGCCCGCCTGCAGGTAGAAAACTTGGAAACTGTATCTCAATCAGGCCAAAGGCGGCGCTCGGCCAAGTGTCAAAGCCCATATACAGTGTTACTCAACATCTTATACACTTTGACCTCAAATAGTGGCGAGTCAAAGGCCGCGCTTTGGATTAAGAGCCACATGAAGTTGAGGGCGAAGGAATAAATAAGCGTACCCCCGAAAAAAGCTTGACACCGTAGGTCGACTGATTCGATTGCGGCGGCTGCCGAAGAAAGTACGTTGGATCCGGCGGGGACGTCGAGGGACGTTCTCGTTCAAAAGCGTCAAAGTCGGGCAAGTCAAAGGAGCGTGCTGCTGGCACCCAGCATTGCCAGCACGTGGTGTCTACGTCATCCCACCACCCACCCCGAAGAGACATTGTATTATCACCACACGATGTACGTCAGCCATTCCATCATATCGTCATAACATAGTACCAAGCTTACCAGCCAAGTCGGGAATCCGGGAAGGCACGCCTGTGGCAGGTAGGGCACTTCCCTCAGCTGGTTAGCGGCGCCCTTTGCCCATTATGCACCACTTTGGTAGTCGCAGGCCTCCTTCTTGCTTCTACCGGATACCGGATGGAAAGCCTGATACCAAGGCAGACCAATCGTCACTGATTATGGAGAATACGGCGTCTCCGAGAAATCATTTTTATAGTTTTCTCGTGCCGCCGTCCTGAAGCACCTCGCATTCTCAACTGTGCCCTCTAAATCCTGCTTCTTCTCCCAACATTTTTGACGCCTTTACCTCGACCTGATCTTCGACTCTAATCATAAGAAACAGTTGTATAACCAACTCAAACTATCTTCACCGCGAAACAAAAATCGAACCCCCACCTCTAAATCATAGTCAAAGACCGCAACCATGGGCGTTGTCTCGACCGTTCTCATCGTCTTGCTCACCCTCTTCTGTACGCAGCCCTAGGACCCCGTCGATAGCTCGACTCTTTATCGCTAATAACTCTCGTATAGTCCCGCCCATCGGTGTCTTAGCCGTAGCAGGATGTGGAATGGGTAAGCTTTTATCGTCCCCCATGTTTTTCTCTTCTCTTCATTTTCTCCCTTTAAACACTAACCGTTCCTCTTCACCCTAGACTTGTTCATCAACGTCTGTCTAACGTTGCTCGGCTTCCTACCTGGCACGATCCACGCGTTCTACGTCCTCTACGTCTACTACGACCGCCGCGAGCAAGCCCGCATCGGTGCCCCTCTTCCGCCCCGCGCGTCAGGCATCTATAGCAACCGCGTGCAGAGCGGCGGTATGCACGGATACGGCACGATGTAGAGCGAACGCACCCGTGCTACTTTTGCCAGTAAGAAGGAAGGATGAATAGAGAGCCGCTGTGAACGGGCTCTCAGGAGGATGCTTCTTCTCCATTTCTATTTCTTGGAGTAGTCTTCCGACACAGGGAGAGGAGGATGGCTAGAAGGGGCGAGGAAGGAAGGCCCGCCCTTTAGTTCAATGTTGTAACATTCGGCCTCCAGTCTCCTCATGTGTTTGATGTCGTTTTGCAAATTCTCGATCAACGGAATGGAATGGAATGGAACGGAACGGAACGGAGTGGGAATATATCACCCAGGCGTTTTGTATGGCGGTCATTGACTGGAAGATATCCTGTTGTTCTCTCACTAAAACCCGCCAGCGCCTCGGCCTCGCACCCTTACACCCACATATACCTTTAGGGCTTTCTGACAGCTTTTCTAAATCATAAAGTTAATTAATAGTATTCCAACGCATTTGGTAAGCCGAGGTGTTGATAACATGGGTTTCTAGAGCGCTAGTAATCCAACTTCAAGGCCCCATCACACTGTTAAACCGGGCTCAACGCGATGCTGAGCTCTTGCCGCCCTCCCTTAACTTAAGAGGAGTGCCTTGTGCTGGCACACTCTACCAATGTAAAATCACCCGGTTGAATCTTGGGTGGGGGCTACTGCTACTACTAGATATTTCCCTGTGGCAGTATAGTAACAATTGCTAAAAGGGAAAAAATTGTGCTTCGCGGAAAGAATCAATTGGAATATTCACATTGAAGCTGGGTTAGAGAGCGTTGCTCTCCAAAGTGCACAAGCTCGGGCGGCTCAGTTGGCATCGTCGCCCTGATTGGTCCTATTCAGGGGTCACACCGAGTATCGGTACTAGTACCACAGATCAATGCAATTGTATAGCCAGACACCCCGTACTGTATACTTACAGTAAGACAGGAGCTTCCGCCCTGTCACAAAAGCCCACCTTCGCAACTGCCTCAGCAAACGCAGCCAAATAAATAAAAACAGCCTTCTCACTTGCTCCCCGCCTTCCAATCCACCACCGCCGAACGACCCCCCTCCTCTCGACCGAGACAGAATCATCCCCCTGGGCTCGGAAGCAGCTGTGTAGTGGTTCAGTTGCCGTACAACTTCGCCTCCGCCCCCGTCCACCCCCACCGGGTCGATTTTGAAGACCGCCCTGGCTTGCGAGATCGACACACCTCCCACCTTCCTCGCCTTACCCGCTCCCAAAGCTCTATCCCCTCGACCGAGAGCACAATGCCTAGTAAGTTTGGCCCCTAGCCTCTCCTTGTCGCTCGGTGGGCGATGGCCCCAATTCCCTACCACCTCTTTAACCCGCCGAGGCAAGCTTTATAATTTCTCGTCCCTAACGCTCCGTCTCTCTCTCATGTAGCCCTCGTTGAAGACTCCTGGATCTCTACTCAGGCCGCGTACGTAGTCGTGTGACTTCTAAATCTAGACCCATTGGAAACACCACCCGCCCTCGAAGCCAATTGACTCCATCGAAAGCTGACACTAGCTCGGAACCTATCTAGGACCCATGGCCTTGACACCATAAGCGGGTGCTCGATCGCAATTAGTGCGACGTACTACCTGCAGCTGTTCCTCGACAACCCACCTTCCCACGAACCCCTCTTGCCTGCTCTCGGCGGCCTCACGGGTATAGAAGCGCACCTGACCCGCGATCTCGAACGGTTCAAGGAGAATGGGGTTGTCCCGTTCTTCATTTTTGATGGCCAGAGCATGGTGGGCCAGGCCGAGACGGCCGTGAAGCGGGGCCGTATGGCGAACGTCAAGACCGACGAGGCATGGGAGCAGTACTTTGCTAGTAGGGCGGAAGACGCTGTCAATGCCTTTGGAAGTAATGCCGGTACGTGGTGTCGTTCCTCCTCCTGCTGCCGCTGCTGCTGCTGCTGTTGCCGCCACCACCATCGCCTCCAAGCTGTTCACTACAGCCTAAGCTAACGTCTTGTCTTTCCCAAACATTTATAGGAGCTTTCCGTGTTCAGTCACTTTACCCTCTCTTGATGAGGCTCCTGAAGAGCAAGGAGTACCACTTCATCGTAGCTCCCTTTAATGCCGCCAGTCAGGTTCGTCAGAAGCTGATTTCCAAGCTACAGGAACTCGTGACACCGAGGCACAACCGCGCTAACCTGTGGGTTTCTACCTGGCTTTTTTCCAGATTGCCTACTTCGAAACGATCGACTCGGACCAAGTCGGCGGTATAATGGGCTCCAACGAGCTTCTCCTGTATCCCATCCACGACTGCATCATCAAATCGATCGACTGGGAAAAGAAAGAGGTTACGGCCATCTCCAAGAAGGAATTGATCAAGACGCTGAGTGTCACGGAAGCCATGTTCATTGACGCGCTGCTGATGTCAGGCACTCCATTCCTTCCTACGTTCCCTCCTCTTCAAGACCCACAGGTCACACCCGGTCAGCCGCACATCATCCGTGACGCCATCAACATCCTCCGTACGGCGGACAAGGCTGTAGCTAACGTCTGCGCCTCGTTCAATGACATCCTGCAACTCCGAGACAAGGACTGGCTCGATAAGTACCAGAGGGCGCGGATGGCGGTCAACCACTACATATACATTGCTGAGAATGGCGAGGTCAAGGTTAACGACTTCGACCACCTCACGCGTGACAACCACGAGTACCTCGGTCTGCAGCTCCCGGGCGAGCTTCTGCATTACATCAACAGAGGACTCATCAGCGCGCGGTTCTCGAGCTGGATAACGCACAGTCAGATTGTCGTGGAGCCCACCCTAGATGGCGTCTCGTCGCCCGAGTACAGAAAACTCGTTGGGAGCCAGCTAACGAGCGTCAGGGAGCAGGCGTTGGCCCTCGTGATTCCGCGGCTGCACCGTGGGATCCAACACAAGAAATTACCATGAAGGTTTGGTATGACGACAAATTCTCTTACAAGACCAATCTCCGGTCTATCCAGCCATCGCCGGCGCAGGTTGTCAACAGCTGGTTCGTTAAGCCTGAGGAGGTGGAAAAGTTCCCGCCGCCCGCCCAGTCGTCGGCGCTTATCACGTTTGAGGTTCTCTCGCTCTCGAACCCCGACTTTGTGAAGCACACATTCAACAAGGACAAGTTCATCAGGGGCCTAGACGACAAGGGAACGATTGCTTCGGTTGCGGTGTGGCGGTTCCTTCACCTCCGAGGCTACGTGGACGACGAGCACTCGTGGACCAGATGGGGTACCGCCCTCGCCACCTCCCTTCTTGCCATTAGGGAAACGGAACAGAAACTCGGAGATAACGCGTCGCTCGCAGAGGCGGTGCTGGTGGCTTTTGAGCTTATTCGCTACGATCTCCTTAACAGCAAAAACAAGCATGAGGAGCTCCACGGCCTCCCTCTTAAGGGGTCGGAGGACGAGAAGAAGAGCCTCCTCCTCATCAGCCGATGTGCGACTTTGCTGAAACTGCGCCACCAGACGAACGGGTACACGGGCCCGCTCAACAAGAATCTCCTAGCCTTCCGTTCTCTGTCTTCGGCGGTGCGGGAAGCCAACCGTGACCTGATCGAGGCCATTGTTGCCTCCATGTTCATTTACGGCCAGTCGAAGCGAGAGCGTGATGACCTGCTCGAGCTTGGTCAGAGGTAGGCCCCCTTTAACTCTTTGTCTTTTCGCCCAAGGTTTCATTTCCGTCTGTTGAAGCAACTAACCCTCGTCATTCGCAGCCTTCCCTTCCTCACGGATCCCGATATTGCTCTTGGCATCGCAGTTAAGACCTTCCTCGATGACGACAATGTCAGCGACTCAAAGGAGCAACGAGCCGACCGCATGGCCCAGTTCCCGCAGACGTACGTTCCTTTTGCGACGCACTTTGTCGAGGATATGCGGACGTGTTACGGGTTCGTCAACGCCTTGTACCAGGGCGTGAGTACTCTTGACAAGGAGGTCTCGGGTGCCGATAAGCATGCCTGGGGAACGCGGCGGACTACCTGGCGGCGCGCCCGTTTTAAGGTACAAGCGGGCGTGGTGCGCACATGCGCAATAAGGAAGCATTGTAAAACGGTTAGTTCCTATCTGGAAGGACGCGTCTTGAAGATGAAAATTGGCATTTGGGGTGGCATCTTATCGCCTTGATGGCGGCAGCATGAAAGTTCTAGGTGATGAGTGGATTCCGCCGCCTCCCGCCTCCCTTTCTCTTCTGTTAAGCCACAACCGCATCGTGAAACACAGTCAAGCATGGGTTTCCCTTTTTTCTCTTTGTTTTATTGAAGCGCGGCGTCGAAGGGTTCATCTTCTGCTGTACTGTCTCGGAAAAGTCTTTGAACAGGATCCAAGGCAAGGGGAGACCCGGGACTGTTGTCGATCGAGGGAGGACGTTGCGCGCTCCTTCACATGGTTTGGGGCAGGGATGAAAGAATAGTCGCTAGGTCGATGGTGTAGGAAGGTCGATAGGTGGGAAACTAGGACGGTAAAGGTGGCCAAAGTGCTGGTTATACGCCCGGGATCAACTCTGATCGAGAGGTTGTCGGGCAGTTGTCATGACAGCCGTGCTGGCACCAAAACTTTGTTATGCCCGAGGCTGATGATAAAATAACAAAATATCAACATTGAATTGACGGTGAACTCGCTGTTCCTGCTCGGGCTGTGCGAGAGACCAATTGGTGTTCAGGTTCATCATACATGCATGGCCCATGTCAGCAGATCAGTGAAGCTAACTTGTACCATCTGTACCTTCCCCTTTACTCTTTATGTTGGCGATGGACTGAAGGAGTGATCGACACATATGGGTTTGTCCAAGTGGCTCAAGGGCCTCATGGGCTTGGGGCGGTAAGATGGCGGTTCCACTCCGGGCCCGACTGCATCTTCCCCACACGTTGTAGGCCCACCACCGCCGGAGTACCGAGATAAGATAAGCTACAGTGCAGTAACCAGGCGTTGGCGTTGGCGTTGGCAGTGATGGACTTGCACATCTTTTGACTTCTTCCTCCCAACAAGACCCCGCGTTTACGAGCCCTCCATCCCACCTCTTTTGATCTCCGCGCACCCTCGGATTGGGGAAGAAAAATCATCTACACTTATTCGAGGGTTGGCCGTTCCGTGGATTTGGGTTGTACAGAAAGATACCAGGCAATAGAGTGCCCCCAGGATGCCGTCGACGGCAACCACGGCCACGGCCCCCATCCCCGTGATTGACCTTGCGGCGGCGGGCAAGTCCGAGCAGGAGATTGCCAAGGAGCTTTGCGATGCCGCCATCGAGCACGGCTTTATCTATATACGGAGCGAAGGGGTCGATGTGTCGGTAGAAGCCGTCGACAGGGCCTTTGAGATTGTGAGTTGTTTTTCTTGCTTTTTTCCCCAACTCCTTTCCCCTCTCGCTCGGGCTTAGGATACGAGGGAACCGGAAAAGGCCAGAGGTAAGAGATGTTCTTTTTCTAACGGATTCCGGGACGGGGGTGGGTATGCTAGTCCCGACAGCTCTTCACCGAGACCCCGGCGGAGGAGATGGAAAAGTGCCGGATTCAGAAGAATAACCGGGGATGGAGCGGGATCCGGAGCGAGACGCTGGATCCAAAGACACAAAGGTAGGTCTCGTATCACTCCCCACTCCCCTCACGCCTCACGCCGCTGGGGAGAACATTGTGTTGATTGTGAATACTGCGCTAGTCTGGCGACTTCAAGGAGTAAGTCTCTTCCAATCCTCTTTTTCGCTTTTCTTCCCAGCGGCCGGAGTACGCGGTCCCGGGCCGCTCTCCTTATCACCAAAGCCGGAAGCATCGCCATATCCGATGCTTCCAACTCCTATCTATCACCGCCAGTCCCCCTTTTCTACCATTTCTTTTAAAACCGTCTAATAAACCCTTTTAGAGCCTTCAATTTCGGCGAGTTCCAAAACGGCAAGGCCCAGCAGCCCCTCCCGAGCACGCTCATCCCCCACGAAGCGGAACTCGGCCGGTTCGCGGGAAGCTGTCACGCGTTGGCGCGGCGCATCCTGCACCTCCTCGGCGTCGGGCTCGAGGTCGACCCGCCGGATTTCTTCCCCTCGGCGCATCAGAGCGAAAAGGGTCCCTCGGGCACCACTCTCCGCTTCCTGCATTACCCTTCTCTCAAGGGCGTGGATGTCCCGGCGGACGACTCGATCCGCGCCGGCGCCCATTCGGACTACGGCAGCGTGACGGTACGAGTGCCCCCATCCTCCTCTGCGTTTCCCCCCTTTTCCATGTCCCTACACAATGTTCGCACGCACGAAAAAAACCAACCCAAAAAAAAAAAAGCATCCCCTATCCTAACCGTTGAACCGTAGCTTCTCTTCCGCCTCCCCAAACAAGCCGGCCTCCAAGTCCTATCGCCAACCTCGACCTGGCTCCCCGTCCCCGTGCAGCCCCCTCCACTGCCTCCGATACCGCGCCCCCGATCCTCGTCAACGTCGGCGACCTACTCTCCTACTGGACCAACGGGCTCTTGCGGAGCACAGTCCACCGCGTCGCTCTCCCCTCGTCCTCGTCGTCGTCGTCGGCCGGCACCGAGGAGACCGACGCCGTAGGGGTCCCGGAGGGCGAGGGGTACGACGGGGACAGGTACTCGATTGCATTTTTGTGCATCCCGTCGGAACGGCTAAGCTGGAACCCGTGCCGAGCGACGTTGTGAGGAGGAGGGTAGGGGATGGAAAGGGTGCTGGCGCGGGGCGGGACGGCGCAAAGGTTGTGACTGCTGATGAACACCTGCAGATGAGGTTGAGGGCGAGTTACTTGGACCTGTATAAAGACTGAAAAGGTGGAGAACCGCTTGTCCCGTTCTAACCTTCTTACCCCTTGAATATACAAGGCATAAGATATATAGCCAGAGGAATATTATGATAGAAGCTTAAAGAGACGTCTAACCCACTATTATTTCACGTTCTGGGTTCTCTGCGTTTCCCTCACCCCTCAGATCGGACTACGTTTCAACCTCGAGTCTTTAGAAAAACAGTAATGATATATTGAAGCCCTCTTTTTGATGATAAAGGAGGAGATGCAACTTCCGCAGCCATCGCAAGTAATCACATTTACACACATGAATATGATTCTTCTCAAATGTCGGTAAAAGAGGGGAGAAAAGGATCTACCGCTTCCTCCCCCTCGGCTCTTTTTGCTATAAGCTAGTATACTCGACACTAGAGAAGATAAGTAGTAGAAGAATGAGGGTGGTAGATGAACTCGCATTTCGCGATCGCCGCGCTTCGGTATCACGACGTGTCGATCACGTCGGGCCTAGAAGCGTCTTCTGAAACCCGAGACTCGTTCTCTTATAGCCCTCGCCTCGATCCCGTTAGAAATAAGAATGGCAAGGGAACAGAGGGAGAAAATATCTCCGTTCGTCCCTCCCTTGCCGGAGGAATGTTTTGACAGAAGAAGAAAGAGAGAAACTGGGAGGAGAGCTTGGTTTTTGCCCATTGCAAGAGCACTCTTTATCTTTTTCGTATTTTCTTTTCTACACATGTTGATGGACGGGTCAGGCAGAGGAAATGGGGAAAAGAAGAGGATTTCAAAAGATAATAAATTTTCCACAAGAAAAGAAATTGTGTACCATTGGTATCTCGGCTCTGTTCCGTTTCCTCCCTCCTCCTCGTCCCCCTTCGTAACCCCTCTATTCCTCCCCGCCCCCGGCTCTAATTCTTTGTCTGCTCCTCCTCGGCTGGTATTAAAATTCAATCACCTTCGCAACACGAGGAAGACCAAGTCGTGTGAGAAAGAAAAAAATAGTAGTAAAAGAACATTAAGAGAAATAAAAGAGGAAGTAGAGGGTTGGAAGTCAAGGGGAAACAAAGAGGGGGAGTAAAACATTCTTTACACGAAGCCATCTTTGTCACCACTTGTTTTTCTTCTGCCTCCTTTCCTCCCTTATTTGTACCCTGGATTTTCTTCCCTCCTTCTTTTTTGTTTCTCTCGCTCTAGTGGGGAAAAAAGAAAAGGCAGCTTCACTGCCGGCAAAAAGTCCCGCGCGTCGAATGCTTGCCCCCATGTGAAAGACGAGATGTGTAAAAAGAGAAGAAAAAGGCTCCGCAAAGAGAAATAAAAAAAAAAAACATCATGTCGGTCACGTCATGTCGACCTCCGTTTAGGAGACGACGATGGGAACGGGACCGGCCATGATGCTCTCCTCAGTGACGGTGCCGTCGAGGGGCGCGCTGTTGACGAGAGCGACGTAGGTGATGCCGCCAAGGTTCTGGGGAACGGTACAAGCACCGGCGGTGTCGAGCTGAGCGAAGGCGACACCGTTGGGCTGGAGACCGCCAGAGATGAAGGCGCAGTGGGTGGACTGGGCGAGGGTATCGGCCTGGAAGACCATCTGCGAGTTGATGGCGACGGCCTGGCCGGCGGCGGGCTGGACCTGGGTGAGGGTGGGGAAGGGCTGGATGGCAAGGTTGGAGCCTTCGGGGCAAGAGACGATGAAGGGGATGGCGAGCGAGGCGGCCATACGGGGGTGAGGGCAGCGTCGAAAGCCTGGGGAACGGGGACCTGAGCCTGAATGGTCCTGGTCAGGGTCTGGTGGCGGGCCTCGACGGTCAGGATGGAGCCGGCGGCGGTGAGGATACCGGCGTCAGCAACGAGCTGGGCAGCACCGAGGTAGGCGCCGACACCGACGTTCTCGAGAATGGCGGCGAGCTGGATCATGCCGGCGGCATCGGTGAAGGGAACTGGTACTGGCAGGGCTGGACGGGGCTGGCACCGGCCTGGGCAATGGCGCCCTGGAGGAAAGAGGCGTGGGAGAACTCGGTGGCGCCGACCTCGACGAGAGCCTGGATCTGCTGGTCGGTGAGGCCAATAGCACGGAAGGCCTCGGGGCCAAGCTGGGCAATACCCTGCTGGTAGAAAGTAGCCTCGAGCCACTCAAGGGTGAGGGCACTATACACGGGGGTGGAAAACCACTTGTTAGCTTCGAGTTCCTGACAAAGAAAGGCTGAACCCAATAACCATCCATGCTCCCTGCTCCCTGCTCTTGCCCTTGCCAAACGCTCCCCCTTCTCTTTCGCCTCTTGCCCCACCATCCCATTCGCTGATTAAGACATGTCGTGTAGACAACTTACAAGTTGAGGATATCTAGATCGGTCAAGCCGGCGGCGGCCTGGGGGTTGGCCTGACGCTTCATGTTGCCCATGGGGAAGGCGGAAGCCGCAGCGACCAAGCACGCAATGACGGAAGCCTTCATTTTGTCTGGTGGGTTTCTCGGAAAGAGGTGTGGAAGAGAAGAATTGTCTTTTTGTCGGAAACGAGAGAATCGAATCGAAAATGCAAATCCAGCCGCCTGGGACTATGGAATTGGGTCGAAAAGAAGAAGAGAAAAATTAACAGATAAAAAGGGGATTAGACAAAAGACCACTAGGGTTGCTGCTGTTATGGAAATGAAAGTGAATGGGAGTATGTACGAAAAGACGTGATCCCAGGGGAGGAAAGCAGACCAGCGCTTTTGGTATAGAACAAACAACAACGAGTGGGAAGAAGAGAAACGTGGATGGAGGGAAAGAGTGAAAAACCAAGAAAGCACGAGAGAGAAAGAAGAAGGGGGAAGAGGAGAAGAAAAAGGAATCGAGAAAGCGGATCAGACGCCAAGGTGTGAGCTCAGTTCAGCATGGGAAACGAAAAGAAACTACGGGACAAGGCAAAGGCCCTCCCAGGGGATCCACGATCCGGCTTGCCAAGAAACCGGGACGGCTTGAACCAGATACAGCACCTCGAGGATACAAGGGGGCATCGGACTCTGTCAGAGGGCTGGGATTCCTGTGCAGAGACGAGGCATCACTGGCTAGGCATGTTACGGCAAGTCGTCATTCCGTGGCCGGTTCCAACGGAAAAGCTCCATGCAACGCACACACCCAAGCGTCAAGGGACATTTCAGGGAGGGGAGAGAAAGGGGTTTCCGGGACAAGGAAGCGGAGCCTGGCTTGGTACCGGAGGGGCAGGAGTCGGAGGGCTAAGGAACCGCCAGGAGTTGGGGGTTTGAGGTATCCGGTACGTGATTGAGCCTCAAGTCTGGCGGCAGCAAAGGGGACAGGCCAAGCAGCCAAACGGAGGAGGGTGGGGTGGGAGTTTGCCCCCATGTCGAGGTTGATGTCCACGTCCAAGAGGAAGAAGGGGGACAGGGGTGTGTGTGTTTGGGAATTGCAGGTATTATTATGGGGGACAAGGGACAGAAAAGAAGGTTAAGCACATCTCACCTTCAGATGGCAGTCAGTCGGGGGCCTGCGACTCGAGGATGCACATGGACTTTGTTTCGTTTCCCGGCCAGGGGTTGGTCGGTGCGCACGTCACTTGTGTCTAGATCCCATCAGTGAAGAACATTGAAGAAAAAAGAGCCCTGCCAAATGCAATCATTACGGCGAAGCGTAGTCCACTCGATCACCAATACCCATCTCTGCACGAAAGAAGGCAATTTTCAGGTAAAGAAAAACCAAAAAACAAAACAAAATCTCATACAAAGAGAAGGAATAAACCTCTTGGGCACCTGGTTTCCGACGGCGAACCGCATCCTTAGGGGCGAAGGGGAGCACAGGTGAGTGGGGGACGGAGACATTGGAAAGACGGAAACAATTGTCCGGAAAATAAGGTAAAAAGAAAGCCCCAATTCCCAACGCCATGCGAGGCGGAAGAAAGACGAAGGAAGCAAAAGAAAGAAAGGAAAAAAAGTAAACCCCACCTCATAAGCCTCTTGTGTCAAACGGCAGGCGAGCATCCATCTCTGTTCCACGACCGGATCGAGTTGACGCCAGGGGTCCGAACCAATCGTGGCGGGTGCCTTGAATGGACGGGAAAACCGCACCGCCAAACGCAGCAGCCGTAGAAGTTTTGATGGATTTAGAGTTGGGAGATGGGACGGATCAAATTGAGAGACGAGCTGCAACTCAAAACAGTCCTCCCGGCAAGGGGTGGAATGGAGGGGTGTGCATCGAGAGACGGATGAGCAGGAAAGAGAGCGAGAGAATGAGAGGGACAGACACGCACGTACAAGCCAGCAAGTCATGTACATAGAGAGACCACGATGTTGTGTGCGTGTGTGTACCTCGGTATGTGTGTGGAGCGAGACCTCGAAGGAAAAGCCTGGACCAGTCTTTTTTTCCTTTTCTGTGACACGGGAATCTTCAAGAATCCCCTCTGTCTGGTAATCTTGCGAGTACAACTCTCAATTGTCGAAGCTGAATAGGAGCTTCCGGGGAGAAAAGCTTAAAGAACCAATTTGAAGATGAAGCACGCAGGGTCCTCGGAAGGATTGGCAGGAGCTGTTAGAGAGGTACCGACACCCACGCTCGCTCCTGGCCAGACACCTCGTGAACAGGGCCGAGAAGAGAAGGGGCATCGAAGCCTCCTACCTGATAATTCAGTGCTTGGAGCCCACAGTTTTGTCGCATCGAGGCAAGACTCACTCCATTGTACCTTCCTAACATTTATGGACCAAGGAATGAGAAACATCGGAGGCAGGTACGGTGCGCACGGGGCAAGGAGCGCCTCAGACACCCTCTCGTGGGGCCCCACCCCGGACGGGATCCCTTCCAAGATGCACTGAAATCGCAGGAACCGGTGCCTTCCCTTCCCCCTTGTCACGGTTGCGCGTGTCCCGAAACGCTCCTGACACACGCAAATTGTCGCAGACCCTTGACCTGATTCGCTCCCGGTCCCCGGCTCTGTGCAGCGCCGCCGCAGCAACCCCAACCTTTTTTGCATTGCGCTAAAGAAGACGTGCCGTTTGGCTCCCACCACCAAAATTCCCCATCTTACACTAGATTCCGGGAACTAACTTTTGGGGCTTTCTCGGACCTGCCATCAACCATGACTACTCGAGTATCAAATGCGAGCTAGCGCCATCGCCGAAGCATCCTCTTCGATAGAAAGTTTCCTTCTATCCTCCTTGGAGAGGTTGCATTTGTTTTCTGAGAGTTAGAGAGCCGAATAGAGACACCGGCGATAGATGTCCATGTTCAAATGGGTTCAACAAAAGGAGCACGTTTTTTATTCTATTTTATCGAATTTCCTCTTTTACCCTTTCCTTATTGTTCTCGCGACGGTCCGATGCTAAACCTTGAGTCTGGCTTGATAACAAACTCTGCGAACCGGGGGTTTGTCGCCTTTGTGTTTGGGCAGAAAAGGCTAAATTGTCCCCAAGCGACAGCGTTGCTTTATTCATCCTTTACCCACCTACCTCGATACCCGAGTCCCCCTTTCCTCCCTCGCTTCGCAGTTTTGGGAGTAATATCAACGCAGACGAACCCGAGCGGCAAGGACAAATGACCCCCAATCTTACTCTTTGTCATGCAGTCTCCGTTTGGCGACTGGTCCCCGCCAAGGGCTCAACCGCCGCCGGGGTTCGAACAACGAGGCTTAGCAAAGTGGTATCGCCCTCTTCTCGTCCGCCTGTCGTCGCCCGTGCAGTGGCGGCAATTGCAGGGGGCGAGGCCGATTCGAGTTCTAGGCTTCTAGGGAAGATGTCACCTCCCATTCCAGCTTCGAAGTATGACAGGGGCAGCACAAGCTCGAGGCCTTCTCTGACAGATGGACACGAGTTTTAAGCCAAGCTCAGCGCGAAGGAATATCAGAGCCCCGCTGAATGTTTGACCAAAGGCACCGGCGCTTTATTCCATGATTTGAGGAGGATTTTTTTCCCTTTCTTTTTCTCCTCGCTCCACATGTTGAACCCGAATTGTTCTGTTTTACTCTGTTCGGCCATTCTTCTCTTTCTATTCCCCTTTTCTCTTTTCCCACCTCTCCTTCGATCTACATCTTACTTACCATGTGGGTCCTTCATCTGTGGTTGATAAGCTGGCTCTCGTGAAACGCTCCCCAAAAGCCTCCTTTCTCGGCGATATCCCCTTCGCCCCTAGCTCTCTATACTCTCAGGTACCCCACCCCGCTCGGGACTTCCCATTGAGCTTTATCCTCATATTTGATCCTAGATCTCTGTGCTACGTTGTGGCTGAAAGTTTTGGCCATCGCCCGCTGTGCTCGGTATTGAAGGGACTAGGCACATTAGAGCTGTCAAGAGTACTGTCCCCTGTCCCCCTCATGCCTCTCAGTTGCTCATCTCTTGGAATCTTGATACCACTTGCTGTCCCTTGCTCTGTTTCTCGTGATGAGGGTGAAAAGTCATGGAAGGTCTGGGGTCCGCTAAGATAGAATTCGCACAAGTTCACTCCTGCGCTCAAACCCCTAGTGCTCGTGGGCCTGAAGGAGGTAGATCCGTCCCGCAAATCATAGAATGCCAGATGATGGGTGGCTTGCATACAAATGTGCCGTTTGATGCGATGATGTCCGTGTAAGCTGGTGCCCTCGCTCACATGCTCGCAAGCTCCAGAGAGAGAGAGATGGTGCGTGCGTGCGTGCGTGCGTGTGCGTGTGTGTGTTAGATAGAGAGACGTATACCAGAGAATCAAAGTCAGAACAATTGAACTAGTCCCAGGCAAAGGCCCTTGCTACCAAAACCGATAAGCCTGATCCATCACCTCTCACACATCACCGCGCATCGTCCGCCCGATCAGCCATCTAGCTCATCATGCACTTCCCCTCCAAAAGGAACAAGGATAGATGGTGAGGGGGCCATAAAGAAACACTTTAGATCCTAGCTACTGCTTTCTCTATTGTCTGTCCCTGTCCGCCATGGCACCTCACACGCGCGCCGCATCCGCGGGTCATCTTGAGTTCCATATAAAGAACGAAGATGAAAGAAAGAAAGCAATATAGATCTTATCAGCACCCGTGTAACAAGAAACCCCAACAGCCTCGTCCGCCGGTTTCTCTCTTCTCCGTTCTCTTCCGTCCTTTAACACGGCACACGCGAGCCCCTCCATCGCGCCTGTCCCCCTTCTGCACAAGCACGATTTTCTATTGACGAACGGGGGAAAAAAGGAAAAAGAAAAGAACAATGGCAGCTTAACGCCAGGTCACCGGCCTCCGCCAAATGTTCCACCTCCATGAACACGGAGAGGCTAAAAGGGAAACCGGCGAAATGTGACAGCAGTTCCTCGGATCCCCGTGCGTGCGGTCCCTCCCCCTCCTTTTGCCCTTGTGCGTATGATAATCTTCCAGTCTTTTGAATCGTAGATCCCACCGAAGATCCAGCAGGCACAAGACACAGCCTGAATTCTTCCACGTCGCACATTGCCTTTGCTTCTTCTACTTCCTTCCTCTTTCTCTTGCGAAGCCTTCAAAGTGCACAGTACCCTCCTCCCTCTTCTACTCGGCCCTTGCCCCCGTGGTCTCTCGTACATTTGTTCATCTCTTATCCCTCCCGTTCCTTCTTGCTCCTTTATAAGCCCCCCTCTAGGCTATAGCAGCCTCGTCGGAGGCCGGTTAGACGGGTACGTACTTACATTGGATGCTTACCAACCTCGGCGGCGGATTCTTGGCGCGTTGCGGCTCTGCTCAATCCCGTGAAAAGGCGGGAATGCTAAGACGGGGCGAGAGGCCCGGAACAGTGCTCCATCATGACCCTTGATAGATTTTCGCGCCTTTTCTAGCTCTAAGGTGTGCACGATTGGCTTTGAGTCAAAACGTTTCCTGCCTTGGGCGAGTAAGCCGGTCCCGTCTATCCCTTGATCTCGGCCCTCTTCCATCTCGCAGCCCTCTTGCTCATCCAGAACAAACTCCTGGACGAGAGTGTGAGGTACAGAGCAATATATATGTCTCACTTGGTCGGGAGCCAAGCTCTTCCGCGTCCCGAACATCATCAGTAACGGGAAAACGTCAACTTTATTAAAAACCTCCTGTTTATTATTAGCAACCGGTGTATCGTACTCTTATCCCCTTTTGCTAAACTCTCTCGTCTCCCTCGCTCCTTCATCCCATGGCCCTAACTATCAATCTTCTCTTTACGGCAGCTTCTCTCTCACTCGTATAGGCCCACGCGTTCTGTACCCCTTCCCCGGCAAGCCCATGCATGTAAATGTCTAGGAGCCCAAGCGGTTTGGGCCCGGCCTCCGTCCTCAACAATTAATAAGGTAAAAATAAGATAAACAACATGGCTTCCATATCGTATACTCCTCAGCTCCTCAGTCAGCCTGGTGCCCCTTGGCTATCAGCCCACGCCTTTCCTTCTCCACAATCTCCACTCGTGTATCTTTTCTCTTGCTCCACCAACTTCCACCCCGTTTCTATTTTGATGACGTTTTCCCCTCCCCCACTTCAAAGGCGCCGGTAGCAAATGTAGATATTGATGGTCATAGTAAGGATGTTAGGATATGATGCACTTGGCCACCCGTTTGCATTATATTTTTCAATCGCCAGCATACACCAGACACCGGATATAAGCCACCTCTCGGCCTAACCGGTATATATAACCTCTATTTAGAGAGCGTAGGGGTTGACGGAACGAATAGTCAAGCAGCTAGAGTAAGAAGCGCGCGTGTTAGTAGTCGAGAGAAGAAAGAGAGACAAGGTAAAAGGGTGATGTGACGGGAGCGGGGCAAAGGGCAATCATGGATCAACTTACGGAGGGCTCTTGGACAAGTCTGTCTTGAGAATAATGGGAACCCGCGTCATCTCCGTGACATCCTGGATGTATTCGCCACCCTCTTCCCTGAGCTTGAAAAGCTTCAAGTACTTCTCCTTATCTGTCAGGCGCGTCTCAACAGGCTCCGCCGGCGGCACCTTGGAATCCGAGCGCGTTCGCTGGAGCGCGCCAGCATCCGCGTTCGAAGTAGACCTTGTGGGCGACCCGGGCACGCTCTGCGTGGGCCGCTCTGCGAGCGAGACGCCGGCCATCGCCTCAGTCAAGTCTGACGCGTTGTCATCGTCGTCGTCAAAGAGAGCCTCAACATCATCCGTCGACATGGTTCCAGTCTCAGTCTGCTTGCGTGCAGCTTCTTCACGTTCCTTTCGAACACGCTCCGCCTCCTCTGCCTGCCTTCGAGCTTCCATGGCGTTGGAATAACGCTGCGACATGGCAGCTCGGGGTCGCTCGTCCTCCGGAACATAAGCCGAGCTGGGGACACCCTTCTCCCAGTAAAGCTCGAGAACTCGCTTCTCCTTGCGGAATTCGGCCTTCTTGAGTGGCAGCTGATCGCAGTGCACTCGCTTCTCAAAGCCCCACTCAGGAATCAAAACGTCAAACGCCGACTCGTACACGCAGATAACCACACCTTCGACCACAAGGTCTCCGTTAGCATCCTGCCTGACCTTGTCCATCTTTCGGCACGACTCGATGTGAACGCTCTGCTCCTGGGCATTCTGGGCCGACTCCTTCTTGGTGTTGCACGACTCGATCGCCTTGACAAGGGTCTCGAGCTCGTCATTGTACTCGGCCTTGCCCTCCGAAAGGGCAAACTCGAGCTGCCTATGGGCAATGATATCCACGTATCGGCGCGTGGGGCTCGTAAAATGGGTGTACAGGGGAAGGTTCAGTGCATAGTGGGGCCAAAGGTGCTTAGGAGTCTTGCCAGAGATAAAGTACTTGGCCCTCTGCATGGATTTCACGAGCAGCGTCTCCATACCATTCCTGATATCAGTGTCGTCAACCTTGAAAAGGCTGTTCTGCAGGCTGCCGCTGCTAGTAGCGTCGATCTCATAGCCTAGGGCGGCCATACGGTCCGCAAGGGTCCGGAGACGGCGGGGATTGGGCGCGCCCTGTCGACGAAGAATAGCCTTCTCCGGGAGGGCCTCGACGAGTTTCTGGGCAACATAGGCATTGGTCTTGTGCATCAGCTCTTCAATCATCTCGGTCGCCGACGTCGAGTCAAAGATGTTGGTCTTGACCGGGACATTCTCGTCGTCAAGTTGCTGAAGAAGTCGAAGAGGAGCAATAGGCTCATCGCCAGCGCCAAGACGAGACTCCCTGAACTTTTGGGACACAGCCTAAACGTAAAAAAGAGTCATGGTTAGTCCACCGTCAAGAGATCAACAGCTTAGCAAAAGGGGGAACATGGTTCGAACAAGGCAGATGCAACTTAGGTAAATAAGTACTTACGTTAAGAATTTGGAGGTCCTTGAGCTGAACCGAGTCGTCCTTGAATGCGGACTGGTCTCCAGAAAGAGCGGCATCGACCTGGTCAAGGGTGACTCTGCCCACGCTCTTGATGATACTCTTGCCAACCCAAGCATCACCCTCGGCAACGGCACCGTTATGGGGGTTGACACGGAATACGATACTGACGGCTAAGCGGTCCTCGCCAGGGACGAGAGCACAGACCTCCGTAGATAGCTTGGGGGAGGAGAGCACAGACGCGATTAAGGAGATGCACACCCGTGCCTCGCTTCTTGGCCTCTCGGTCAACGAGAGAGTTGGCCTTGACGAAGTGAGCAACGTCAGGAACGTGAATGCCGACGTCAATCTTGCCATCAGGGCTAGTCTTCACGTGGATAGCGTTGCCTAGTTCTCCCGACTCGGAAAGCGCCAAGGTGAATATCCTCTCGTCTCGGAAATCACGGCGGGCAGCGAGGGAAGTCTCCTCCTCCTTGGCGAGGGACCAATCTTGGAGTCCTACGCTGCGAAGGACAGCCTCGGTGAAGTCGTCCGAGGCAAAGTTGTTGTCACGCAAAAGTGCATCAGTCTCGACCTTCAGGTCTCCCATCTTACCAAGCTGCTCGACCAGCGTACCAAAGGGGTGAAGAGAAGTGATGGGCCATCGCTTAATGCAAGCCACAAAAATGCGGTCCGCATAGTCTTGGTGTTTTTCAACAAAGTCTCGCGGGGCCTGCTCCGTAGGAATAGCAATTAGGGAACACGCTTGTCAGTCGGCTTGAACCACACGATCTTGGGCTTTTCCTGATGGCGGTTATCGTTATGTCGCGAGTTTCCACCATCTCGGGCCGCGCGCTCTGCCTCCTGCTTCTCCTTGGTAGCTTGGCTGCTGGGTCGGAGTAGACCCAGAGTGCCAGAAAACATCTGGCCGGGGACTCGCTCAATGACGGCGACGATATGACCGGCGTAAAGGGGCTTCTGCTCGTCGTTGATTTCTTCTTCTTCTACAAGGAGAAGGCTCTGGCCCTCGACTTCCACGTCGTCGTTCTTCTTCTGGGTGGGTCGTTGACGAAGACTACCACGACGGCGGATACCGCCCTCGTTTGATTTGCCATCATCACCATTGGCACCGTGCTGACTGCCCTGGTTGGTAGAACCTGACCTAGTATCGGTGATATCCTTGCGCTTCTTCTTCTCCTCCTTTTCGCGCTTCTGCGACCAAACTTCGTCGACGTCGAGGAGTTCAACGGCGACCAGATCCCCTCCAGAGCGCGGTTTCGGTCCTTGCTACCGCAAATAAAGATGTCCGCATCGAGAAGCCCATCCTGGGTGGATACATAGGCGTCGCTTCGGTTCTTCTTGTTTACGCGGAGGATACCGGAGACAAGCTGGCCATCGCCGAGGAGGGCGGGAAGGGTGGCTTGGGGAGGTAGGGGGTGAATAGAGTCTTGCGTTGCTGCTGCTGCTGCTGCTGCTGCTGGCCGGGGAGGCCACCAGCGTGCTGGCTGTTCTGGAGACCAACAAACTGCTGGCCGTTCATTTGAGCCTGGAGGGCTTGAAGCTGGCTGAGCTGCATGGGGTTGAGCTGCTGACCGGGGAACATTTGAGGCATGATCATCTGACCAGGAATCTGAACGAGAGGAGCTTGGCCCGGATACTGGAAGGCACCGATGGATGAAATGGATTGGTTGACCGAGCCACGAGATCGGTGGCCAGGCTGGAAAGTCTGCTGCTGGTTCTGGCCGCCTTGCTCCTGTGCTTGGCCCTGATTTCTCCAGTTGCCTTCAAAGTTGCGGGAGCCAGTTCGAGCGTGTCCGCCGCGGCGGAAGTCCTGGCTGCCGCCGCCGCCACCGCGACCGACAGCCATGCTCTGACTACGACCGTGACCACCACGACCGCCGCGACCAGCAGAACCCTGCGAGGCCTGGTTCTCAGTAGCCGCCGGCTGCGGAGCAGCACGATTTTCATCGCCGCTGGCCTTGTCCGCGGACGCACCGGGGCCAGGGAACTGGAAACCGGTCGTTGTCCTCTTTTGCTGAGCCAGCTCGGCAGCCTTCTTGGCATCGGCAAGAGCCAACGAGTGACGTCGCTGATGGCCACCACCACCACCGCCACGCCCGCCACGGCTGGGTGCGTTTTCACCACGGCCATGACTAGCCTGGGAATTATCAAAATTGCCAAATGCGGTGCCCGAAGCGCCGGAAGAGGGGGCAGGAGGGGGCCCCATGCCCATATTAGGAATTGCGGACTGATTCCGGCGATGCGACATGGGCTGCTGCTGCTGCTGCTGCTGCTGCTGCTGCTGCTGCTGCTGTTGCTGGGGCTGCTGCTGCTGCATCGGGAACTGGAAGGCTTGTTGCGGGGCCAGATTGCCCATGGCGGGTTGCAAAGGGTTGAAAGCGCCACCAGGGCCGAGTTGTTGGGTTGGGGGATCATCCCCATGTTGAGATATTGCTGTTGAGTAGCTTGGAGCTGTTGCTGCTGCTGCTGGAGGAGCTCGATCTGCTGCTGGATGGCAAGCTGGTCCACTGCATTGTAGGGTCAAACATGTCAGCACTGATACGCTTGCTCAGGAGCGTCGTCAAGCAGGGCACGGGTCACGGAAGATGATTAGGGTTTCGGAGTCGAGTCATAGGACACCTATAGGGTCCCGGGGGCGACGTAACTGGCACGGAAGCGGGCGGGGAGAGGAGGTAGGGGATGGGAGACGGGAAGCAGGAGGCAGGAAGCAGGATACAAGCTCGCACATACTTTGAGGGTTCGTAAACATGCTCATCAAGGGCGTCAACTCGGAGGGACTACGCCGGTGAGCAATGTGAAGCCTGCGGCCAGCAGGGCCATGCACACCCCCAGTGTGGGTGGCAGGCTGCTGCTGCTGCTGCTGTGGTTGTTGCTGTTGCTGGTCCTGCTCCATGGCGAGCAGAAAGGAGGGGTGGGGAGCTGCACGTCGTGTGCGGTGACTATAGACTGGGTTTGGAGGGGCAAATTCGAACAAAGAGCAATCGGCGTGGATGCCAAAATTCGCACAGGCGAATATGCGTTGGTAGTGGACGAGCTTAGATGAAGCACAAAGAGGTAGACAATTGTTGAATTTTGCAAGTCAAAAGGTGCGATGGAACGCCGAACTGTGTGCGATGCGTGGCTGCTTGTTGAGTGTTTGTGTGTGGGTGGTGCGTGTGTCTGGGTGTTTGGTTGGGAGGTTGCTAGGTGCTTGCAATCACGAGTTTACATGTAGGAATGCGTTTGGGGGTAGGAAAGGAAGGTCTGGCGATGAGAGGGAGTGACGAGCGCCGAGCAAGGAGTGTCAAAGACGATGAAGAAAGGCCTGCGAGGAAGCCGATGGTGATAGTTCAGGGAGAGGGAGGGAGTTGGTGGGAAAAGATTGGAATGGGAGCTGGATGAGGGCCGGCGGACTTTGGGGGAGCGAGGCGAGGATTGGTCTTGGCCTTTTTGACATGGAAGTCAGAACACACTGAGGAGACGACCTGATTGCTGAGGGCCAGAAAGAGCAGGTACCTCTCCAGTGGCCTAGGGATCCGATCGATTGATTGGAAAGACAGTCCGCGGGTGTACATGGGGACTAGGAGGATTCACTAGGTTACGATCGGACAAGGCAGGTACCCTAGACCACTCCTCCTTGGGAGGTGCCCTGCAAAAGGATAGTGTACTCGTTGCTCTAGGGGCGGGATCATCCATCCGTAAAACCCCCAGGGCTGCTCTCGTTTCTCCCCTCCACACACAATGAGAAAGTGGTGCGAGGGAGAACTGTGGCGACCTGGCAAAGGGGTGGTACGGCAACAGTTACCAGGTGAAGTCCGTGCGGCGGGGAACAGGACCAGGTGGAGCTTGGAGCTCACTGGCCAAAGCAGTTGGGGTTTCTGCTGAATCAGTGTGAATTTCCTCCGCCTGTTGCTCCGCTTCTGTGGGAAGCTGCCGACAACACCAGGTTAGGTCGTGGGAAAGGGGGCGCTTCCCGAAGTGGAGACGTCAGAGGGGGTTGTTGTTTCTGGGCGATATTGCGTAGCCGGTACTTATTGACCTGGTGATGAGCTTGGGCTACCCCACCAAAATATTGCAGAGGAGGGCTCGTGCTCAAGAGTATTGGATACCTCCAAACTCTCCACTCATCAGCACCCACTTTTTGTTTCCCCGAGCAATGAGCATCGATCCAGAGAGAAAACTGGAAGCAATGGCTCAATCAATTGATTTGATTGATTTGGATAGAGGCATAATAATATGGAGCAGCTGAGATACAGGACAGCTAGCAGTTCTCACCGACGCACGGCATCACCGCTGCAGGGTGCTATCTATCCCACGATGGTACCGAGTTGCTGGCTGCAGGCATTCTTCGACTCCAGAGCTTCGCGCGAGGCCGTCGCCTCCCTTTTAATGTTCCATTGTTCCATGTCGGTCGTAACTTCCAGCACCCACCTGAGAAGGGGAAGGAGGGGCAGGGGTCTGCGGCGGGGGCCAAGCTTCGCTTCGTACCTCCTCTGGGTCCTCTAGTCTCAGTGCGGTTTTCAGCCCCGAAACAGAGCTTCGTATGACCACCTTTTTCACCTTGCATCGTGCAACGCCCGGTCCCGGGTGCCGACGCTGGCGTCTGAATTTTCCATTCACAGCCTTGTGGGCTTCAATGCTGCGTATGACAAAAGCTCGTTCGTCCGGAAGAATAGCGAACGAGCCTGTAATCTGGCCAAGATTTCTCCCTAATCTCGTATCTTGTCGCCCTTTCCGCTCGACGTGCTTCTCATTGATTGATCCATACAAAATGGTGGCGGCAAGGAGCACTTGAGGGCTGCTTTTTAGATACATGCGCCATCAATGGATTGTCTCCCACGGACGGAGCTTGAGACTTTGGCTGGCGAAACTGAAAATGCTGACCGCCCGGCAGAAATCGACGTTTTTGGTGTAATGTGACGGATCGCCGGTGCTGCTCCAAATGGACGTCCGCTGACGCTTTTAGAACAATCATGATATAATCAATTCCATTGACTTGGAGCTTGCAATCTGACAATATCGAGCTTCTCAAAAGTTCGGCGGCGCCATGGTCCCGCCCTGCTCCTAGCTCCATCTGGCACATCCCGTCCGAAGCTGGAGCTGCCTCGATAATGGTCCATAGTCAAGCCTGGAATCCACCCAAGTTATCTGCTTCTCCTCAGATTCGCATTGTGGAGGTATCATCCAAACTGCATCTCCTGTAACTACTTTAAATCATTATCAATCCGCATATGACCTACATGCTGCAGAGGGCCTGTCCCAAGACCTTGTTCTGGCACAACCTTGCCTTTTAAATCCCCGAATCCTAATCATCATACAGATGGCCATAGATCGGACTTGCATTTGCTCCAGACTCGGCAATCCCTTGAAGAATTACCGAGGAATGTGCTTCCCAGGGAATTCCTGGGACGCGCTCCACGGATCCATTGACACTCTCTCATGAGGGCATTCACCCCTTCCTACTAACCAAAAAATGATTGATCTTGAGTTTTTCAGAACAAGAAGCGGGGACTTGTTGAGGATGAATTTCAGGCATAAAAAATGGTGGTTTATGTTGCTCCAGTCTTGTCTAATGCCATCAAATTAATTGAGGTGGCGGAAAATGCCGTCCAGCAACAGCCAAAAACACGCCCAACCAGAAGCCGCTTTGCCAGCCAGACGCAGTTCAAGACGACCACACTAAATCCCCATCAATTGCTCGCTCCTCTCCCAGCGACGGTTCTTGATCAACTTTTTTGCTCCCTCTCCATCTGCAGCCTTCCCGTCATGTCCCTGGCTGCCTTTTGAAAACGACTAGAAAACACGATTTACCGAAGAGGGAATCTCGCTCTCTCTCGTCCCTCCTTCCACCGTCTCCGCATTCGCCTGGCCTTGTTCCATTTTTCAAGGCTTTTTCCATCCCTCCAACACATAGCCTCCTCCCCTCCTCTCCCCTCCTCTCCCCCTTTCACCATGAGTCGTGCGTCAATCTCGTCGCGGAGAAGTTATACCCAGTCGAGCCCCGAACGCACCGGAAGTTTCTTGTCCAGTATCCTCTCCGATGACCGAAATACGGAACTCAGCCACCGCGATGCACTCTTCGCAGCGCAGCTCGAGCACGAGCGCGTCCGCATAGCAGCCCTACGTGTGCTGGAAATTGACCAGCTGGAGGAGTCCAAGCAGAAGATTCTGGCCGAGCAGGAGAAAGAGAAGGAGCGGTTAAAAGAGCACGAGCTCGTCGAGGAGGAGAAGCGATTACGGGCTCTTCGAGCGCAGAAAGTCCCAAAACCTCCTCCGGAACCCGAGCCCGTTCCTGAACCCGTTCGAGTAGCGCCGCCAAAGGTTGAAAAGCCCCAAATACAAGCCGCTGCCGTCTCTCCCAGCCCATCCTCCCCTACACTCCAAAGAACAGCCCCCACCGCGGCTCAACCGCAGACAACCGCTCAGCAACCCGCCGGTTCCTTATTCTCACGACCCTCCGCCACCACATCTCAGCAACCTCTTACAAATGGGCAGCCAGCAGCCCAAGCGGCGCGCAGCCCTTTGGCCAACCGCCAGCTGCAGCACCAATAAAGCCGGCGCCTCAACTCCAGCCCAACGGAACCGCGCCTACAGCGGCGTCCTCCGCGGCCCAGGCTCAACAGCCCGCACAAGCTACGTTAGCCCCACCTGATAGACATCTCCAGATCCACCAGGGGCTCAAAACACTCAGACGGAAGCTAGAGGAGATGGCCAAGCCTGCTGGCTCGCCTCTAAAGGGTAAGATGGGTGATTTGCGACGAGAGATACGAAAGTCCATGGGCCAGCTCACGGGAGGCAAAGGAGCCAACGCCACACCGCTGAAGAAGATCAAAACCTGTCTTCAAATGTCTTTGAGCGGCGAACTCCCCAGTCCGCTCATCAACGTTGCTAGTTTCGTTACGGACCAGCGTGAACCACAGCAAGATGCGGTCTACAACGGCGAGCAGATGCCATCTCTCTTCATCTACCTCCTCAACATCTTTTCCAAGGCAGTGATTAACCAGTTTATCAATGAGTGCGGCGCGAACCCCAAGGCTGCCGATCCCATCGGTGTCATGGCTGCCCACATATTCTCCGACAAAGACTTCCAGTGGCGAGGCAAGTCGCTCATCGACATCCTTATCGCTAAATTCAGGAAATCCTGCCCAGTCCTCTTCGGCATTCGAGGCAGTGACAAGACGGTACAAGGCAGAGCCTTGATAGGATGGCGGAAAGACGGCGGCGGCTGGATGCCGGAACAGATGCACTACGACAGGATGTCAGGCCTCGGTGCCGGGTTCGCAGCCATTTCTCTAAGAGACTTTAGCAAAGCCAACAAGGCCAACCCGTACCCTTCCTCCAACTACTGGCGGGCGATCTCCGGAATCGTCAACACGCAGCCTGCTGAAATTTCCGATACTCAATACATCGTTCTCAAGGCCATGATCGATGGCCACGAGCAGCGATTCATCCAGTTTTTCGGCAATGCGGCCATTGCCGCCCTACAGGTCGCGCTTATGGAGTTCCCCAAGAAGTCGCCCAAGAGCGTGGCAGCCGGGGCGCTCCAGGTCCATGGCCAGGTCCTCCGCGACGAAAAGGGACTTTATATTGGATGACGCGACGACGCACACCCCGGTCGAGAGGTTTCAAAATTACTTCTTATAAACCAGAGTTATGAGCGGCGAGGACACCGCAGCTTCATCTTTTTGTCCCACATTTACTATCTTCTCACTATTCTTCTTATGCCAAAGCTTAGATTAGACCCAAGGTATCCTCTTAACAGTGAAGAGAGGTGATATCCAGAACTTTATGGCATCGGGCAGGCGGGATCCACGGCGCTGAAGGACACAACGTGCAAGGCTTTAACTCCTTTTTTCTTTTCTTGTTCTCTCTCCTTTTTCTACGGGATTTCCCTTTTGCAGGGCTGTGACAGCATGTCAAACGGGCAGGACAGGAGGAGAGTGGTCTATTCTGACAATCTGCCGCCGCAGGCAATCTCACATGTATACTATTGGAGTAAACCACAAAAACAAACCAATTCATGACGCCTCAATGTGGACGACTCCGGGATAGACAGATATCGTGACCAGATGCATAATCTTTCCAGAACATGGCTAGAGTAGGTTGTGATGAACCAGGTCGTGATCTATGGTATCGCGTTCCTGAACCCTCTTGCGCTCTAACGACCCGACTCCATCAGTGCTCATTTTGCAAGCGACGATCCCTAACGATCCCTAGGCTATTCGGAACAAGTCTCTCTAACTCTCCGTTTTTACTACACCCGCTTGGAAAGTAGGAAACATTTAAGGCTAGGCTCGGCATCATGGTTCCACATATGAGAGCGCCAGTTGAGCTCCCACTGAGGTTGAAAAGCCCGAACCCGCTTAGGAGAACGGCCTGCTTCATCAGACGTCACGGATCGTGGCTCAACCCACGCGATCTATTTTTCGGCTCCTCTACTAGGCAAAGCACTACCAGTCCCGAGTATGCTCACACCTCCGCCTCTTAGAACCCCATTGCTCTTTCCTCCATCACAACGATTCACTCACGCATTTTCGTATGCTGAACCTTCATCAGCAGCAAGGGCTCCTTCCATCTCAGGATCTCTTCTGATAGATACTGCTCTTTCCGTTTCGAGGAGCAAACACGCCCTGAATGAAAACTTATAACACAAACCCAATGGTTTCTATGATACAAAGTCCAAGTGGTCAGATAGCCCGAGTGGTTCAAGGGTAGAATACTCGCCTCCCATGGGGTGAACAGCGAGTGAACCGAGTTCGAGTCTCGGCTCGGGCAAAGGGCACATATTTCGTTGGACTCTTTTTTTTTTTTGGTTTATATTAATCTCTTCCTCTTTTGCTCAACTCCCCGAATTCGTAAAATAATTGACTTCTCTTATCAGATATTTTGAAGTTCTTCCCTCTTCATCCACTCTACGGAAGAAGGAGATGGGGCCTTAGAAAGGTTCACTTGATCACTTATAAAACCTGGCGTCATAGCATCCCGGCATCAGATAGCAGACGAGTGTTGATGTACCGCCCCACGGATTCAACTGATACATCTCCCTGTGAGCCTTGGATTTCTCGAGCTCACCCGTATTTGGGACCAGACTTTCCCCGTCCCCCATAACCCGTTTATCGATCTCTAACTTGGGGCTGTGGCTTGAATGAGATAGTAACCCGGTTGTGTGAGGTCAACCATGCCTTTTGAAAGGGATACATGAAGGGGCATACATCCTCATACCGATGATCTCGGAGCATTCGTGCGCTGGAGAGAGAGGTATTCTCTCAGGCTTTGCTAAAGATCTGGCGCGCGAAGCTTCCGAGGTTATATTCAAAGGGCCCCTCACACCAAACACCACCCTATCTTGACTGACGATGATCTAATACCACCTCTACGAAAATTTTACGGCTGCTCCTAATTCTTAGTATTCTCGTAGCGAGCCGAGAGACTCGGCTCGAATAAATATGGCTAAGAAACAACGATTGATACCCATCCAAGTTGCAACCGTTGTCGATTCATCAAATGGCTGCGACCCCTGACTCGCGATCCCCTCATCCCGCTTACACAACCACACCCATATGGCACTCCACTTTCACGCATGAAGGGCACAGAAAGCCAGGCTTGACTCACGGGAGGGACTCGGAATAGAGCACGGGGAAAAAGAAAAAGCAACAGTCGATGAGACTTAGATGGTGAATAGAGAAGTGGAAGCAATCTAGAAAAAAAACCTGTCCCCGGTGCTCTCTTGCACATTGGCTTCAAGATTGATGAGGCCGAACTGAAAGAACCGTCCTCAACCTCGGAGCCCGACGCGGTGCTTTCAAGGAGAAGTGAAGCTCAGGTGGTTCAGGGGTAGAATATTTGCCTTCCATCCGGGGGTAGCAAATGATCCGAGTTCGAGTCTCGGCCTGAGCATCAAGTCATTTTTTTGACCACTCTTTCTTTTTCTTCAACCTCTTCGTTTTCTTCGTTTTCTTTTTCTTCTTTTTCTTCTTTCCTTTTCCTTTTCTCTTTTCATCCTCATTCTTTTTTTCTCTTTCTGCTTTCCTGATCCTCCAGTTTCTGTTTTCGGCTCCGTTTAATGGCCCTGCCTTATCAACGAGCAAGCCTCCTTCAGGTCCCCGGCCACCTTTACAAAAGACGAAACGTCATCCTGTTCTTAGGGAGTGGCATATTCATTTTTCAAACACTGCCTCGTTATCTGGAGATCCAGCGCTCCAGCTGTGTCGTGGGTGGTGGGTAACATGATTTTTGAGCTGTGATGGCGTTGTCGGCCCGTGGGGGCGCGATTATATTTCCTCCTCCCACTTTGTACTTTGAACCCCGGCGGAAAAAGAAAGGAATCTTGTCGTAGAACCTTGAAAGATACCCTGCTCACCTTTCTGCCCCTATCCGGATCAGGCGCGCGAGGGGTTTTCTTCTTGGTGCTCTATCTCGCTCATTGTATTCTCAAGAGGCTCGAGTTAGATGCGTGACTGGAGTAAAATGGGCATGTTTCGAAAGGTAGCCTCGAGGTATTCCTACTAGGGCACTTATCCCACGCGACATGACCAGGGTTGGGATTGGCATGCGTTCTACCTCGGTAGACGCCGGAACGCTTCCATTGGGACGTTGCCTGGAGGGTGATCCCGAGTATTAATCTAAGCCTTATCCTTCCCGTGCCATGTTATAGCATGTGATGGAACAAGAGAGGGAAGGGGACGGAAGAGGGTGTTAAAGCGCATCTTGAATTCTACTAATCTTTTTCGTTCTGTTCTCGGATATCGACACGCCATCAAGACTCTCCCTTATTTGTCAATAACGACACTATCTCTCTCCCAGCAAGCCACTTTAAGCCACTGATAAAGCTGTCCACCTGGCTGGCCACCATTCAGTCCTCCCCACGAGTCGAAAACGATATGAAACAGAGTGAGGGACAACGCAAGCAGAGTGATGGACAAAACTGGAGAGAAAAAAAGAAAAGGAATGAAGAAGAAGGATAAACAAGGGGAAGTTCAAAATCAGCCAAGATAGGCCGTCTGCAAGAGATGAGGAAATCATTGTCATATTAAAAAGCTTCAGACTCCAGTGTGTAAAAATCCCTTGCCAGCCGGTCTTTTTGTCTAGCGTTAAGTCTTGTGGTTGGAAGTGTTACTTCCTAGGGCCTCCTTCCTATTTCTGGCCACGATGCTATTCTTGGAATTTTGAACAGAGAAAATGTAAATGAGTAAACCAGACCAAAAAATAAAAACAAACAAAAGGATCAAGAAAACGCAGACGCATATGAGAAAAAGGGCTAAAATCATCGCTTATGTACTCATGCAAGGGAGAATGAGAGGAGAATCTCCTCTCACACTCGGATGAGCAACGCTCAACGGACAATATCAACAAGGTAACAACTACGCCCTCAAAAGTGAGAGTCGTCGGGGTGGGAGAGGTCTCTCGTTCCGAAACGGAGCGTCTCAAGAAACGAGAGAAAAGGCTGTCAAGAATTCGGAAAACTCCTGTGCAAAGAGGGTATCAAACTCGGAATGGAGAGAGAGAAAGAGGGCGAGAGACGGGCATGGTCGAGAAGACGCGCGGACGGGCATTCTCAATGCTCAATGGGATCTGGGTGGCGTGAAAAGCACCCGACAAGGTGGTCCACTTAAAGACGACCCTTGCCGCCAAAAGAGACAGGGTCGTAGATCCTCTCCTTGATATACTGGGTGAGGGCAACATCGCCCCACTCCTCCCACTCAACCCACTGAGACTCAGGCAAAGCAGAGACGCCATCGCGGCGCGCCGCCTTCATGACCTCCCGGGCAACAACAAGCGAGGCGTCACGCACGCGCTCGATCTTGGGGTAGATCAGGCCTTGGTGGACCTCCTCGGCGTTGAGGCAGCCAGCAAGGGCGTCGGCCGAAATGTACACCATCTCATCCGTCACACGGGTAGCCTTGGAGAGAATGGCTCCGAGACCGAGACCGGGGAAGACGTACACGTTGTTACCCTGGTTAGGGTTGTACTGCACGACAGACTCGCCGAACTTGGCCTTGAAGGATTGGAAGGGGAGCCCGACGCGAAGATGACGGTGCCGTCGGTCCACTGCACGGCCTGCTCAAACGTGCATTCGGCCTTGGTGAGGGGGTTGGAAAGGGGGAAGAGGATGGGGCGGCGACCGAGGCCACCAGCATCAACCGAAGCCTTGAGGGCGCGGACGACGGACTCGGTGAAGACGCCAAACGTGGCAGTGAGACCGATGAGGGCGCTGGGCTTCACGTATGCAATAACCTCCTCAAGGCTTCGGAACTGGTGACCGTTGTTATCGTCGCGGGCGAAGTACTTCTTGTGCTCGGCGAGCTTGTCGCCGCGGTCTTTGGTCACGAGGCCCTTGGTGTCAACGAGCCAGAACTTCTCCCGAGCAGCCCTCTCGGAGAGGCCGCGGCGAGTGTAGTACTCGACCAGCTGCTTAGCAACACCGACACCAGCCGAACCGGCTCCCATAAACACGAGGCGCTGCTCCTCGAGAGGGACGCCCGAGAGATTTACGGCACCAATGTATCCACCGAGGACGACAGCGCCGGTTCCCTGAATATCATCGTTGAAGCACTTGTACTGGTTCCGGTACCTGTCCAGGTAGTTGAAGGCCTTCTCGGACTCGAAGTCCTCGAATTGCACAACCATCTCGGGGAACACCTCGGCCGCAGCCGACATAAACTCATCCATGAACTCCTGTTGCAGGGCAACAGGGGCCCGCTTTTGACGCAGACCCAAATAAAACGGATCCTTCAGGTTGGTTTCATTGGCGGTGCCAGAATCGAGGACAATGGGAAGAGTCTTGGAGGGGTGGATACCAGCGGCGGCAGTGTAGAGGGCAAGTTTTCCGATCTATTTGCCGAATGCATCGTTAGTGGGTCGTGGGGCAAATAACGACTATTGGATTATGAAAGAAGGGCCCAGTCGGGGAGCACCCAAACGGGAAAAGCGGCAGGGGAGGTAGGAGAAAAGAGAAAAAAAAAGAAAAAAAGAAGAAGAGGCAACTAGAATTGCGAAAACCAACTAGGATCAAGATCCTAATTAAAAACAGGGGCAAACTTACAGAGATGCCGACACCGTTGATACCAAGGTCGCCGAGACCGAGAATACGAGAGCCATCAGTGACAACGCAGATCTCAGGGTTGGGATAAGGCCAATTCCTAAGCATGGTGCGAATAGACCGCCTCTGCTTGATGGAAATGTAGAGGGCCTCGGGGCGGGTATAGAGAGTCGAGTACTGCAGGCAGACGTCGCCGATGGTGGGGGTGTAGACGAGGGGCATGAGGTCCCGAACGTTATCAATGAGAAGGCGGTAGAAGAGGTCCATGTTCTGGTCCTTGAGGCTCGACAGATACAGATACTTGTCGATGTTGGTCTGGCGCGTGGCAATCATCCTCATGGCACGTTCGCACTGCGTCTGGAGGCTCTCCATTACGTGGGGTATTAATCCGGTGAGGTTCTTGTTAATACGCTCCTCGGGCGTGAAGCCAAGACCTTTACACAACAACTCCCGGTTAGCTGCCATGGCTTCGGCCAGAGTCTCTCCGTCAAATTGAGAATGCATTGTGGGCGAAGGTTCAGAATATCTTGGGCATCCAAGGGTGATATATTAAGGGGAGAAAAGATCGGTGCTAACGTCTAATCCAGGCGTGGCGACTAAGGGGTATGTATGGGGGATTTGGGACGAGTGGGCTTTAGAAGAGCAGAGTGCAAGTAATGATAGATCGGTGGGAAAGAGGCAAAAGAAGGAGCCAGGGAAACAACGGGGACGAGGAACTTGGGAAACAAGAAACAAAAGCTTGGGGAGGGAAGCCGTGCTCTTAAAAAGATTTGGGCTCGCGCGAGAGTGGCCCCCTTCGCAGGTACGGTAGACTCATCGCCTCTCCAAGTCAACCAGAACTGACTGACCGACCGGAGGGAGTGGGTATAGGCCAGGCTTGAACATGTGCCCGCAACTCCAGGGACGAGTTCATCGGAGCCAAAGTGGAGAGCAGTGGGGGTTGGATGCGAGAAAGTGTGGAGGGAGGTAGAGTGAATGGAGTTGGAGTAGTGTTGTTGTAGTGTCGGGTCTAGGCGCGACGGAGCAGGAAGTGGCACCCGGAGCTCGTGAGCATGTGGGTGCGGGAGAGGGAAGTAGATGGAAGGTAGCGTGGCGTAGCGCGGTGGAGTGGAGTACGAAGAGTGCAAAATGGGGGAGGTGCGCCTCTTGGGGGACCAAAAACTTTGCCCCAAACAAGAAACGGTCATTGGGACCTGCAAAGGAACGGAAGGAGAGAGACAGTTGAAGACAAAGAGGGAAACGGCGCTTGCGAGTGTTTCTCATCCCCTCCGTCTCTCTGCAACGTCTACGCCGGTTTCTTGATTGGCCTTGCGGAAGGTCCCGAAAGTAGAAATCATCTAAGTTTCTTTGATTTCTTTTTCTTTCCTTTTCGCTTAAAAGGAGAAAAAGAAAAAGAAAAAGAAAAAGGGGAAAAGAGGATTTTGCCGTTTGCTGCACAGCCTGTAAAGCTGCTTCTGCGGGGCCCCCAAAGCGAAAAAGAAAAGAAAAATCAAGTTCACATACCTCTATTCCACGAAGGCTCGCGGAGGACCTGGTATGAAAGAGCCTGTGACTCCGGAATGTACTCGACGGCCTTGTACTGCTGAACCTCGCCGTAGCTATTCTGGTTGTAGCCTCGGAGTTGGTCGAGAGAGGCAGCACGCATCCTATCCTCGATCATGGCGAGGTCAACGGACGCCATGGGGTTGAAGTCTGTCATTCTGCGACTGGAGATAGACATGCGCTTGTTGGATATCGATGTGTTGGTCGAGCGTGTGGAGGCCGGTGAAGATGACCGAGGGGTAGAGATATCTGAGCTGGAGATGCTTTGGGAGTAAGACGCCATTGGCAAAGCAGCGAAAGCAGATTCTGATGCAGGTGCCGGTGCCGGTGCTGCTAGTTTGGAAGTTGAGACTAAAATGGTGTGCTTTTATTAGTTTTCGGGAGGGTCCCTTTAGGAGAACTAATGGGGAAGGAAAGAAATAATAGAAAAAGAAAGAGAAAGAAAAAGAAAAAGAAAGAAAGAAAAAAGGAAGAAAGGGGAACAGATGAAGCTTGGGCTTGATCCTCCGTTTCTCGGTTCGCCTCCCTCCCCTTTCTCTTCCTCCGCTCCAGCAAGGGATTTGAAATGAAGTCCGGGTGAGAGATGGGTCAGTCGGCCGGGAGGGTGGATGCCTTGGAGACGTGGGAGATGACGGTAATGTAAATTACCGTCACGACGACTGGCAACTGAGGCTGACCGGGCCTTTACGGAACAGGGAAGTGGATGCGTTGAGTGGTGTAAGTCAAGAATGTGACTAGGGGTGCAGAATGGCGCCCGGAAGGACGATGCGCACTAACCGCACCTTGCACTAATACTGGGACCGTCTCGTCCGGCCTGTCTACCAGAGACGGGGATTGGAACTAATACCAAAGAAAATGAAGGAAGCGGGATTTTAGACCAAGGTCGACGGGGATGGTGCCCTGGGGATGGAGTTGGACCATCTTGCCGGGACCGTTGTATTGGGTATCGACAGTTTGCTTCTCAATGGGGCAATTGGGTATTATTGTAGTGGTACGTGTTTGCGCCAACGGGTAGAGTTCCGGTGAAGCCAATTTGGATTGACAATAACAACAACCAGGGCAGGGGATGAGAAGGCCTTGCCGAAAGGGAAAGGAGTCATGGTTGGAGAGCAAATAAAACAAGAAAAAGAGCTCAGGCAACACAGGATGAAAGCCTTCACACAAGCACTTACGACGAAGAGGAAGGGTCGTCTTCGGTGGACGAGAGGAGACTCCGGTCTAGCCAGGGTGAACAACTTGTTGGATACCTCCGCCAGGGGCACAGATGAGATATTCGTAGAGTTATTGACTGAGGTCGGAGGTGTGTGTGGCGTCGTAAAACTGTGGACGGCCAGTTTCTCGAGGACGGTCTTGACGGGCAAGCGTATATAAGTCGCTGAGTCGAGATACGGGATGGATCAGTCGGCCGGGCCGTGTAAGATTATGCTCAACTGCAATCTACTCGACAGGTCTCGGACCGTATACGAGTACAGGATTGTGGGAGAGAGTGAAAGAGGGGGGATGGATCTAAGTAGGGGGAAGGAAAGAAGAAATGGATAAGAAGGAAAAAAATTGAACAAGAAGGTTATTGAAAAGGAGCACTTAAAGATATCGGAAGGAGGATCACTCGGGAACAGATCAGGACAGCGAAGGGCCCGCGTTTATCTAGTATCATGAGCGTGGGTCTTGATATCCCGCCATCCCTTTCTTTCTTCCACCCCAAGCGATTGAGGATCGTGGGAAGGCGAGAAAAGGGTGTAGAGGAAACACCCTTCCGCCTCTCATTCTTCCGCACTGATTATCAAGATCTGCTACGAAGGCGAGGGGAGAGCTGGCTGAGACTACTACGGGGGCGAGTTTCCAAGGGTTTGCGACGCCTGCCGCACCCCAGGCTGACACACTGGAGGACCAGGGTCACATCCAATACGTATCCACTTATCTATACCACGCTCCTTGTTATACGTCGTCTTGCCGCTGAGGAGTGAAGAGCGATGTGATGCGACAAGAAGTTCAGATGGAAAGGGAGGGAGAAAAGCGAACGAAAAGGAGAGAGGAACATGAAAGGGGAGGTAAGAGGGGCGGGGGCGTGCAAGAAGCGTTGATGTGTCGAATCAGGAAATACATATTTTGTTCTTTGAGGCAAAACGGACGGACAGCGGCCAGGGCTACGGAACATGGAACATGGAACAAGAAACGGCGGCGGGTCACAGGACACGAGCCTCAAGAACATTGATAATACTATCACTCCTGATGGAAGAATTGAGCCTAGGGGGAATACTACCATGGCTGGCTCTTCAGGCCCATTTTATGCACATGTTTGGTACTTTATCCTGGTCCAGGCTTCAGGCCCACCTCAACTCAAGAAGAAGAAGAAGCCTGAGCAGGTCGTTTTTCTTCCTTTCTTGCACCTGGTGACAAGTCATTGGAGCTGGAGCCCTTCTTCCTTTCATCGAAACTCATTCAAAAGGGTTGTTGCTTCAAATAAACCCTGTTCACTCGATGGAGAATGCGGATCGGAGATGAGATGCCCTTTGCAGGACGCTGGTGGAGTTTACGCCCACGACGCTTGGCGACAAAAAGTATTATGGGAAAGGGTGCTCGAGTCTTGGATGCTGTGTCTCTCCGCGCCGTCGCAGGGTGTCCAAGTTTTTTATGTATAGGAAAGGTACCCAAAGTCAAGGCCGGGAGTTCGTGCACGCAGCAATGACTTTTCTTTGCTTCTATAATTACGAGCTGTCTCTGGCAATTCAAGTCTTGAATAAAAAGAAAAAAGAAGAAAAAGAAACCTGATTCAACATCAAGATCCAATGAGAAACAAAAGCAAGCCGCCGTCGCATCGGGTAGCTTTGGAGAAGCACACTCACCACCACGAATGGGGGCTGCGCCAATCTTGGTGTGTCTGATGTTGCACAGCTTTGCGATGAGTACCGCCGTCATCGTGCGTGTGCCCCCGACATATTTGGAGGTTGGATGAGTCGGCGGCCGGGGCTTGAAGCCGCATCCTGGCTGTTCGGCACCTGACCGTGCAACCATTGACCAAGTAAAAGCGAGATTTGGTGGGCGGCTCATCTCACCACGTCAGCTTGTCCACCATGTGATTCAACACGATAGCTCGTCCCATACTGCGCCTTCCAGCTCGGTATTATCACCCTTCGCATGTTTACAAGTATTATTTCATCGACGCAACGAGCCCGACGAGCAAAGGGCTGAGAGGCAACCCACGAATATCTGAACTCGAGGGAAGGACAAAAGGGGTTCGCTGCGCGAACTCCACCCATCGTTGTCATGTACATAGCGTAGTACGCTATGTACAACTTTTTTAAGGGGTCTGACTGAGACGACCTCCTTGGATGACAGGCGAGGGCCATGTCCAGCTCGCAATGACAATTGACACAGCTTCCTCAGCCAGCGAATTGTTGGGACCTTTTCGAGAACATGGCCGGGCGCGAGCGGCGATCCATGGACCTCCCCTGTGGTGCTTGTTTTGTTGGCCTTCTCAAACCGTCTTCCCTCCGCGCTTACCAGGTTCGTGAGAGGGCATGTGACGAAAAGCAAGCAGGGGATTTGGAACGTGAGGCCCCGGCGATGCGCTCTGCTGTGCGCCTCCAGCCCGTAATAGCAACATTGGGCATTGGGTCGCTCACCGAATCTTCCCCCTTCGCCGTTGTGCAGCTGCAGGCTTGTTCTGTGCATACGCTATGCTGCAATTGTTGAACTGATTGGGTTCACTCCAGCGACCCCAAGTGGTTTGTGACTCGGTGACTCTTTCGCTCGCTATCCCCCAAGCCCCCCCAGTCCCCAACCCCTGTGATGCCCCTGTGCTGGAACCCCTTGCTAGTGGGTGCTCGGAGTACTCCGTCAGAACATTGAAGTCACGGATCTGCCTCCGCAACCCATTGGGATTCTGATCTTCGTACCGTGCCTAAAGTGGATACGTACCGTGTCTTCAGGGCACCAATTGGCATCTTCCCGTTTACTCGTGCTCCACTCCATCTTTGAATTACGGAGTACGGAGTAATAGCTGCCTCCTAACTGCCCCACTTGAAGACTAGCCCCCAAGTCCCCGAGGTACCGCGCCAAGCAAACCCACCAAGCGAATTCCCTATTGCGCGTTCTTTGGGGGCTTCTCCTTCTCGTTTCCCGGGGTCCAGGCTTGCCCCAAAACTCTCCCTCCTTTCTTGGCATACTCGCGAGCGCTGCAGACAGGTCCTACATGCGTCCAGGCCTGTAATAAGAAGACTCGAGGTTGTTGTCGGAGGACCTTCCATCCATCCCTTCGTTGGTTCCTTCCCCCAGGATGCCCGATTCACTCCCACCCCGCCGCTGGCCGACCAGTGGGCCCCGTGCCTTCCCCGCGAGTCCGACCGGACATCCTCCAGCTGTTGCGAGACCCCTGAAATCATCCATGATCCCCTTGTTGCCAATTAAAGAAAATTTTCTCTTGTTGGATCACGATGGCTTCGAGCTGAGGAGGAATATCACCTTCTCCGAAGAAACAAAATGAAATCACTCGCGCGTGACCGGAACACGTGGAGACGTCTTGGAAATTGAGATTAGTTTTACCATCGGAGCTGTTCGTTGACGGTGCTGAAAGCGGAGGGAGACAATATGCATGCCATTGCGGCCTTATAGAATGACTTGTTATAGGTGTGGTTTTTTTTTTTCTTTCTTTCTTTTTGTTCTTTTTCCGGTGACGATCACGAAGACTCGTCTCGTTCAGGAGGCTGTCCTCACCTTTGGTCGTCACCGCTCCTTCTCAGCTAAAGGATCTTTGAGCACAGGCACTTGAGAGGTGTGATCGAGTCAACCAGAATACCCTCCAAGAGTGTACCAAGTACTTATAAAGAGTGACACTTTGACAAAAGTCCAATGTCTTCTTTCAAAAGGAGACCCGTCACAGAGATTCCATGGTTGATACTCGCTTTGACGGCCGCCATCAATTGAGCTTGACAAGCCCTTTTTTAGTTACTAGAACGGAGGCTGCCGTGTAAAAGGGTTCGCCCGCCTGTTTCTTCGGTTGAAATGGCACGGAGCACACAATTTTTCTGTAACCAATCGAAGGAGAGCTATATCCCGTTACGGGCCCCTTTCCAACATTAGAGCTGTCTCTAGATTTGTTTTTCTGTCTCCAACTCCTTCATCGCTCTTTTCATTTTCCCCCTTACTCCGAGTTGTGCCTCTCATTATACATGCATCAAGTCAGTGAAAACATGGAGACGCTTTGAGCTCGATAGCTAGTAGGGAGAGTCAGCTGTTTAGAGGTATAAGAGCCCTGCACCAAACGGGCTGGAGGCTTCGAGCTCT